AAGAAGTTAAAAAAAAATCTGAACACAATATGAATGAATCAATAAAGTGTTAATTTTTAAAGCAACCAAAAATGTTTGAAGCAACAATCTAGCGAAAATCATAATTTTTTACTAAGATTCTAGTTGTAATACTGGATTAATAAATCCCGGTGGGGAGTTATTAGGAAACGAAACAGAGGAGGATTATATCAGTAAAATAGTTGGCTCGAGCTGGATGCTCTCAAAACCGAAGTACCTGGAGAAGGGAGGAGGCCTTCACCTGCGGAAGTGTTCTTGCAAAATAATTAAGAAATAGAAAAAAAACAATAATTAGTGTAGTGAATTTAAAATAAATGTATATATAAAAAAAATTATATCTATTTTATAATTATTTTGAAATTTTTCATATTATACATATATATAATATACAAAGTATAAATATACATATATAATAGGATTAAGTTTGCTTTGTTCTTTTGCAAGAAATGTAAAGGTTTTTTAATTTTTTATTATTTTTATAAATGTAATAAATAAAAAATATGTTATGTACATAATACGCTAAAATCTATACACTTTATTGACAACTTGTGCCCTTTACAAACATTATCATAACTGTATTATCCACAAGGTGCATATTTTATGAACATAGTAACGAAGTATTGTACCACATCTGTTCGAATATCAGAACCGAGTGGCTTTTTGTGTTTTTTGACATTGATGTGTTGTTTAATGTGTTTTTGGTGCTGTACTTACCAACTGTCTTTGTAACTAGGGATTGCAATATTGCATTTTAACCGACTTAAATAATGTTAGGTTCAACCCCGGCTGGAGCAATAGACTTTGTTTTTATGTGCGTTAACACGTACGGTGATCGAGAGGGCATGCTTTAGACCGAAAATATTCAGCGTGTGTCAGGTGGAACAAAAAAATTGGCGATTAAAAAGAGTGGCGGAGAGTTTATTAAATATTTATTAAATGCTTATAATTTTACATTTACTGCCAGTTCTCAAATCAAGGGCGTAGAACGGAAGAGAAGAACTGTCTAGATTATTCCAAAGTAATACCTAAGTAATTAGTTTACTGTCAGTACAATTAAAGTTTACACAGATGTTGGGAAGTTTAGTACAAACTTGACCAAACACTGTGGCATCGCTTAATTAGTGTTTCGGTTAACTTGTTCAACTTAGCAGACCTAATTAAGATCCTTGTGAGACGAAAACAAAGCATTACCGGGAATAAGAAAGACGAATGTAGACAACTGAAATAAATATATATTCTAACTAGCTGACCTGGCAAACGTCGTTTTGCCATGTAGGTATAATATCATTTATAATAAAAAATAGGGGTTGATCGTAGAGGGGTGAAAATTGGGAGTTGTATGTATTTTTTAATGCTGTATCATAAAAAAAAATTAAAATTAAAAATGTATCTAAAAATTAAAAAAAAAATTAGGGGTGGCCTACCCTTAACATTTAGGGGGATGAAAAATAGATGTTGTCCGATTCTCAGACATACCCAATATGCACATAAAATTTCATGAGAATCGGTCAAGCCGTTTCGGAGGAGTTTAACCACAAACACCGCGACACGAGAATTTTATATATTAGATATTAAAATAACATATAGTAATAATAAAATATTAAAAATTTTAAAAAAGATTTTTTTTTTAAAGTTTGGTCCCAGTGGCAGTGTACCTTTAACGCTGGCAGCATTTATTCGTTAAAATAAACCACAGCTCTGCGTTCACCAGTACTATCCAGGCCCCAACTTAAATCTTTAATTAGCGCTTGTGCACTTGAACTCCACGGCCCAAGAGTCTCTACTCCAAAGGGAACAAAATCGAAGTTGGAGGAAAGACTCTTATATTTGAGCCACGTAATGAGTGTTAGTTTTGTCATACACTTAGTCTACGTTAGTTATTATTTCCAATCGTCTTCTGCAGTATGAACCTCTTTTGGGTAACAGCTTCTTGAGCTTTACATTTAGATCCATTCTTTGCTTACTCCATCCATTTCTCCCCGGACACATTTATGAGATATTTTTCTTGAGGGCTCCAGCTCCGGCGGTCTATCTTTTGTCTGTACACCTTGCAATATGGCCAGCCTATTTCCATTTCAGCTGTAAGGCGTGGGTTAGCGAATCGAGGTTTTTTTTATGCCATGATGTGGTCACTTCGTGTTTTGTTAATATTTTTGATTCTGAGAATGCTCCCCTTCATTCCTCTCTAGGCTGCACGGCTTGAAGTCGAAATTTAATATTTCGGTAAAAAGGTTTGGCTGCCGTAGATTTAAATAATATGGTGAAATAATGAATATATACCTATTTGAGACATAAACCCATAGAACAATTAATAAAATAAATCAGTGGCGCTACAACCTTTTTAGGTCTGGGCCTCAGATTTCTGTTCTGCTTCTGTGTTTGCAGATCAGCTACCTGTGCTTGACACACGATGTCGACTTTTTGGGTCGGCAGTGTACGGCATTTATCTTTTATTGAAGATTGTCTAAAGTATTAATAACCTGTGTTATTGCCGTACAGATAAAAGTCACCGGAAAATGACTCTTTTCGGAGGGAAGTAATTTACCCCATACACCTAAGTGTTCCACAAAAAATGTACGGCATGCTGGAAAATGTTACCTATTTATGAAGTACTCTCAAGATCATTTGATTTTATGTTGTTCTATATTATCATCACCTATATGCTAATCAGAGATATGTTGCAACCCTTGGCTTTCGACCGCTCCGCTGGAAATATGTACGGCGTTTACGGGTAAAGTATCTGTATATGTGTCCAAAAGGAATTACACCAATGCCGTACAGTAATAAATGACCTATATTGCTTCTGCAACTATCGTCGAATTAAAAATTTGCACCGAGTTCCGGCACCATCACTTTTGTACGGCACTAGGTTTTTCGACATTTATTTTTAATCATCTATACACTTATAACAAAGCCGTACATTAATAATTAGTCGAAATTCCTCACTTGTACCTGGGAAATTCCATTCACTCACGTACCTACTCACATGTACCGCTCAGAAATGACGGCATAGTGCTCAGAGTTATTTTCAGATATAGTAACAGCCTTCTAAACGTAATTCACGTTGGGTCATTTCACAGGTATTTTTTGTTCATGGGCTTGTGGTCTATAATATTTTAACTCGGCCAATCGTCACATTTGATTCTTTACTTTTGTTTCGCTTTGACGCTAGACTCATTTTGAAAATGTTTTTGCCAATTTTATTTATTAGTGCTCTCAATTTTATTATTTCTTAGTGATTGTTATTGCATATTTTGAATTAGGCAAAGTATTACTTACTATATTATCAGTCTGATCTCTTGTTCCTATATTAATTTCCTCCTTATCCTTGACAATTGTGTGCCTTTCTTCAGGTTACGAACATATAGAAACGAGGTATGCATTACTATTTTAAGATAAAATTATGTAACAACAGCCACCGAACCGTTCTTTGTGGTACATATATATATGTACATGCCAATCTTAATCTTCAACCTAAGGTAAACTTAACATGAAACTAACCCGTCAGTTACTCAAGTAATTAGCGATGCGTGTCTTAATATCCGGGCAGTGCATCACTGAGGTCGTGATAATTAAATGCGAATCTCAAGACAATACCTGAGATTTCCAGGCTGTCGCTACACACTGGATGATTGTAGATAAAGGGTGGTGCAGTTATTTTATACTTGGGGAAATCCGTTGCGCATAAGTGCGGGATGGTTGTCATATAAATAAATTCTAAATCGTAAAACTAAAAAATGCGTAAAGCAAATAGTCTATAAATGTTTACTTACGTTGAACTATGACGAAACGGAAAATCTGCTAGATGTACTAAAATAATTTCCACATATCATGCTCCCAAGCGTGTGCCTGATACCAACCCACACACATCCTCCCAAATACTCACTCACACACACACATACACACACACATAGACCCGGTACACCTCTATTTCTGTAGGAATCTAGTTGACTGTTTTTTTTATTACCTTTTTAAAAATTTAAATTGTGTTGCTTACTCATATATGTACTTTTTTTGTTATGACTCAGTATGACTCTGCTGTGGAATGGAAGCCTGGTTATCCATATCACAGGTTCTTACCTAGCTTGGAAACCAGTCTCCCAATACTTTCTTAACTGTATTCGTATGGTTTGTTGCAAATGTTATATGAGAGAAATAAAGAATTATTATTATGTGGGACTCGCTATTGTGCATACAAAAACCCCAAAGCGCCACCAACAATCAGCCTTGTGATGCGGTAACAGCAGAACCTTATCCAGTTTCCGACGCCGTTGTTGGTTTGTGAAGATACTTGACACAGCAAGTATGGCGCAAAATCGAAAGAAGTTTTTAAAATAAGGTAAATAATTAAAAAGTTTTTATGTAACAGTATTTATGGCCAGACTAGAAAAGGAGTATCTTACATAACTCGAACATCGCTTAACTGAAATAATATTCTCTATTAACCATTGTAACGGACGTGACGTCGCCAGTCACATCCTGCCAAGCCAAGCCAAAGCCAAGCCATGCCATGTTGACCAACCTGTAACGGACGTGACGTCGCCAGTTACATCCTGCCAAGCCAAGCCAAAGCCAAGCCATGCCATGTTGACCAACCTGTAACGGACATGACGTCGCCAGTCACATCCTGCCAAGCCAAGCCAAAGCCAAGCTATGCCATGTTGACCAACCTGTAACGGACATGACGTTGCCAGTCACATCCTGCCAAGCCAAGCCAAAGCCAAGCCATGCCATGTTGACCAACCTTCCAACCAACCGCCATGCCTGCCAACCGCAAATGCCAGCCACTTGGAGGGGATGAGTCTATATATTAAAACTTACTCTTTGGAAGACGCATCAAATAAAGAACAAGTGTGCCATTTTGTTTTCACTGTGAATTAAAATACAATTATCAATAAAAGAATAGGTCAATTATACCTTATAAAAATCACCTAATGTGCACTCACCCATCCATCCCGGTGTAAACTAGCGGAAGTTATAATTTATGGATTTAGTTCCGGAGCTCGTCTCGAGAGGGAGCTAGTGAGACGGTAACGAAACACCTGATATTTAATGCATACTGTCTGAGATCGCCTTAAAACTACGCACAACAATTTCTTTCCTTTATAAACTATTACTAAAGATTGTAGATTAACTTGTTTATTTCAATACAAAAATGTCCTATTTTTGTATTCATTGCAAATACATGCAAAGAATCTCCAAAATCTTTCTAGTTATGTCGCTTTCAGGGATTTATAGACAAAACACCTCGTTATTGATACATTATTTAATATTTCGTTCTCATATTGATAAACTTATATGTAAATATAGGTTCATTTACTGCATTTTCGTGTTTACTTTAAAATCAATTACCATATTACGATAAATTTTGGCGCCATCTGTTGATTATTAGGTAAATCACTTAGGTCCATTACGCCTTACGTTTTCGCTCAGCTATTGTCTAAAAGTATCTCAAATCTTCCCATAGGTGGCGCTGTTATAAAAATACTTTCAATCCATAATTTAAACTCTTTAAAAATATTGTACAAAATATTATAACGCTAATATTGTATAGGGTATAAGATGAGTTTTTCACAAATGGTACGTTATGCCCCGACGTGTAATAGGATATACTAGTGTAGACTCCAGGATGCACTCCGCAGATTCCACCCCAAGAGACGACTCCAGCTAAAACACCTCGACAAACAAGTGGTCCGCCTGAATCACCCTATAAAACAGAAGATATAATATATTGAACATGTTTTATAAATAACATATTTAGATACTAGCTTTGTTCAGCATTTGTTCCGTTAGTTGTTTCTTTCATACACCACGCGCTGTTATGACTGAGAGGTTTGATAGTTGCTGTGATTTATTCTCAATATTTCTGTCTTAATTTCTATTCGAGCATTTCCTATATACATACTTGGATCTATATCTAGATTATATCCTATAAAAATAAATCATAATTAAAACACGCAGCCTTCACACGCGTGCATGCGATGATCTGGGACTTTGATGTGTTTTTCCTTTGAAGTGTTCTTCTATCAATTGGTAAGCAGCCGGATTCGACCTCAGTCTCATATTATAATTATTATATCTGTTTGGTAATAAAATAGACAATAACCTGGCAAGAATCCTTTCCTTGTGCCCCAGCGCACAAAACAGAGAGATGCAAATATCGTGAACTGTAGAACCATTCACAATATATCTTTGATAGTATAGGTACGCAAACCATTTCTAGCTTGCGGGCGGGTTTATTCTGCAAATCAAGGGTCAAGTGTTACTCCTTCTTCTCCTTGAAAGGCCCGCAATGCACCCTCTGAAATTGGGTGTCCATGGGCATTGGGCTGCGATGACTGCCCCTTATGGGCGTCCCGTAGGCTCAGTTGCCCCTTTGTATAAAAAAATATTTACTAGTAAATTAATGTTAGATATTTACTGACTAAGCAGTGTTGGCCTAGTGGCTTCAGCGTGCGACTCTCATACCTGAGGTCGTAGGTTCAATTCCCGGCTGTGCACCAATGGACTTTCTTTCTATGTGCGCATTTAACACTCGCTCGAACGGTGAAGCAAAACATCGTGAGGAAACCGACATGTCTTAGACCCAAAAAGTCAACGGCGTGTCTCAGGCACTGGAGGCTGATCACCTACTTGCCTATTAGATTTAAAAATGATCATGGTTGTAGCGCCACTGATTTGTTTATTTCTTATTTACTGATTAACATATTTCACCTAGGCTTTTGGTAAAGGGCTTCAGCATACTTTATATATACCTATTATAGAGTAATTAACCACACCTCTTCTTTCAATCCAAATCCCGAAACTAGACATAAATCATTTGCTTGTAATTTGTCTTCATTTTCTGAATATAAACGAATTGGGTGAACTGTGTCTGTTACGATAAAGTCTTTCGACACCTTTACAAAATCATTCAATATTAGTTACACGAACAGTAAATTAAAATATCTTTTACACAAACGGAGTAGAGGCCAATACTCCCTACGGAAATAATGAATTAAAAACCAGAATTGACAGAAAAAACAGAACTGACAAAATCAAAAACAGCATTGACAGAAAAAACTGAACTGACAGAAAAAAAACAGAACTGACGCGAAAAAACAGAGCTTTATAGTTATCCCTTATTTATAAAAACAAAATCAGTTTTATTGCACAAATACTCTCCCGTGTTTCGCACAAATTTTGTTTATGCTTATAAATATACAAGATTTAAAAAAATGCAAATTGGTTTAATTTTATAAATACAAGAAATTAGATACCAACCAGAAATTTCATAAATTTATTCCCTTACCTGCAATATTGCTAAATCATGTTTTAAATACGTGTGATTATATTGTTCATGTTTGTAGAAATATTGTATGCGCCTCCAGTGCTCATGCGCAGGCTTGTATAGAATTATCATTGCAGATTTATCAATTGTCCCAGCAACCACTCTTACGTTATTGAGATTTTTCATATTTCCTTTACTGAAAATTTATAGGGAATTGAACGTTAAATAACGGCTAAGCTACATGCTACTTAAATCTGTTGTTAGATTCATCTCCACTAGGTTTGAATGGGGTCTTCTAACATTTTAGTATGAAAGTCAGTTTGCTATTGAGACATGAGGCAGGAATCGGAACGGGTGCTACTTGTGGTGACTGGTTGGACTTGAATTCGTGTATGCGGTGAATGGTGATGTTACTTATTTCGACTATGTATTTGCGTGTTGTTCCCACGAGAATGTAAGTGAGTGCTCCTATTTCACCATGCCTACTGCTGATAGAGAACCAATCTTTGTTTTTAATATTAATTACTTAAGATGTCATGTGGAACATGGTATAATGGTTGCAGCTCTTTACAAACATTGTGTAAATCAAAAAACTTGGCGATTAAAAAGAGTGACGAAGAGTTTATTGCCAGTTCTTTTCGTCCATTCTACGCCCTTGATTTGAGAACTGGCAGTAAATGTAAAATTAGAAGAGGCAGCAGGGATCAGCCTAAACATTCTCCATCTCGATTGCGATTCCGATAATATTAGGTTCCCTAACCTAATATTATATATTTGCGATATCTTTAACCAGCATACAAAAACTTCGGGATCGTCTATTGGAAGTTACAGTGTGTATAAAGCAGGTTCTATTGATATATATCTTAATATATATAAATCTCGTGTCACAATGTTTGTCCTCAATGGACTCCTAAACTACCGAACCGATATCAATAAAATTTGCACACCATGTGCAGTTCGATCCAACTTGAGAGATAGGATAGTTTAAATCTCAAATTACAGTCGCAATTTTAATTTATTGCAAAATATTTGTTTATTATTTGATACAATTCTAACAGATGGCGCTGTGTTAAAATTATCGACGTTTCACATAAGCTGTCATCTACCTTTCACATAAGTTCTCCTACCGTTTCCCTTGAATAGTTTGCTACTATGTAATATAACAAAAACGTTAGCCACAGCAACGCTTGGCCGGTCTGCTAGTATATAATATAAATTACGTGTCACGTTGTTTGTCCGCTATGGACTCCTAAAATACCGAACCGATATCAATCAAATTTGCACACCGTGTGTAGTTTGATCCGTCTTAAAAGATAGGATAGCTTACATCTCAATTTATACCCGCAATATTATTCTATCGCAAAATATTTGTTTTTATTTGATAGTCACAATTCTAACAGATGGCGCTGTGTTGAAAGTACCAACGTTTCACATAAGCTAAAATTTAATGGCATAATAACCAAAAAAGCATGGTGGGCTGGGTGTTCTCCTGCCGTTTCTCTTGAATAGTTTACTACTATGTAATATAACAAAAACTTTAGCCACAGTATCGCTTGGCCGAGTCTGCTAGTATATTGTATATTTATATAGCTTACTCTGAAAATATAAAGCAATGCGCAGCAGTTAGTACGTATCTCAGTGTAATTAAAGATCCACCACAAAAGGACGACCATGACACACCGTACCAATTCTGTTGCCTAAGTGCAACCTGTAACAGATAAAAAAGTTTTGACACATTCGTAGGTAAGGAATAGATACTCCGTCTCATAGTAATTACAGTAATTACACATACGCGGATTGCCTAGGTTCAATATCTAGAATATCAAAATAGAAAATTAACAAAACATAATAATACCGCTCCAATTTTTTATTTTACAGAATTATATAATAAAATCATAATATGTTACATTAGAAAACCGCTGTGGTTTGTATAAATGTTACCATAGCAGTCTTGTTTTGAAACGCGACAAATGTATATAAAACAGTTTTTCAATTTACTTTTTATGTTGGTTAATGTTAATCTATCCAATAGCTGATTGGGTAGTCCATTTATTAGACGCGGTAGCAAATACCTCAACGTTCTCTCGCCATAGACGTTGTTTGCTTTCGATGTACAGAGCCCAATCTGCGTAACAGCTCGCTTCTGTACGTCATGCTCCACTAGTCATCTCGAAAAAAAGTCGAAGCTCGAATAGAAGACATTTACTTTTTCTATTATGGGTAGTATTTTTTCAGTGTTTAAAAATTCCCCTTTGTTCATTTTTATATGAGTCGAGAATATTTCTGGAGACGTGTTTTAGGATCCGTTTTTGAAGGTAACATATTAGGTTGAGAATCGTTGGGTACGTTCTACCGTGATTAATGACAATTTTAAACCTCATTCAGGGTTTTTAAAGGCTTAAAAGCCATGCCCCACTGGTAAAAGTAACATCGATGTATACACACGGCAAAGGGCAAAAAAAATGTGTTTTTATTTTTTCTTATAAAGAGTCAAGCATTATAATTAAGGAGTATAGCGTAAAAATATTTCATTTCACAAGTAGCCTTAAATACCGACATTTACCTAATATTGAATATTCATAGTACAATAAATCAATGACGAATTAATTAACACTATACTTACCTGGTATGGAATTTGTGTAATATCTGCTTCAACGCCTCCAAGTATTTTTAACGGGCATATATCTAAAAAGGATTTATATGCCGCGTTTTCTCTTAATATTGCCTGTAAATAATTATAATTTGATAAATAAGCAGTACAACGAAGAAGATGAAGTCCCATAATCAATGGGACATGGGGGGGGGGAAACACATCTCTCACTCCAGTAAAGCGTAGGGACAGAAGACGCCAGGCCCTATGACTAGGTATTATTAGAGCCTATGCCAGTCCTCTCGCGCATTTCCGTCACAAGAGAAAATATACTTATCTATTTATAATATCTTATATATAAAATTCTCGTGTCACAATGTTAGTTACCATACTCCTCCGAAACGGCGTGACCGATTTTTATCAAATTTTATATGCATATTCAATAGGTCTGAGAATAGGCTACTATTTTTCATACCCCTAAGTGATAAGGGTTGTCTACCCCTAACATTTTTTTTTTGAACGAAATTTTAATTGTTATTTTTTTATAAAATACATACAACCCTAAATTTTCACCCCTCTATCACCAACCCTTATTTTTCATTTGTTAATTAAAATCTTATGACTTGAACTCTGAGGTTTATATAGAGAAAAAGGTAGGCTAAGTAAAATCACATTAAGGAGAAACGAAGTTCGCGGGGACAGCTAGTCTCTTTATATAATCATGTCAATATAATAAGGTCCACAAGCATTGGGAATATTAGGAAATTTAAAAAATAGGCCATTTGTAGGCAAAATAGGCAGATTTTTGGAAATCATTTTTCCTTTATAAATCAACCTTTCCTCACAGCTTTCTTCCTTTGAAAAATCGCAGTGCACATACCTATTATTAATTACTAAGTCACGTATTTTGTAAGTTATTTGGGACTAAGAACTGAACTAAGATTGTAAAATATCCTTTTACCGTAAAATCAAGTTCATGAGATGGCTTCCGTCTTTCGCCTACATCTCTGGTACGTCCAACTGAACATAATATAGAGAGAATAATATATAAATGTATAACACTGTGATATAATTTCATGGAATTTTAATTTACTTGTGATATCCATTAGAACTAGTTTCTGTAAAATATTAGATGACAGAATAATATTAAACTGACATTTTGTCAAAGTATTTTTTATTTCGCCTGAGCAGTGCTAGATAATAACACTTATTAATTACTAGCGACACGCCCCGGCTTCGCACGGATGCAATGCTGATACTAAATACACTACAAAAAAATTGTGAACGTTGCATATAAAAATATAGCGTATCGTAGCGTATTCATTACTGCCCGTGGCCCGCACGTGGATATTTTGATAAATCTCGTAGGGTTCAGACTGCGTTTGAATTTAAGCGGAAAAAATGTAATTATTTACGACATCACATTAGAAACCTCAAAAATAACAGAATTTCTCCACTATTTAATGGATGTTATTATACATATAAACCTTCCTCTTCAATCTCTCTATCTATTTAAAAAAAACCGCATCAAAATCCGTTGCGTAGTTTTAAAAGACTTAAGCGTACATAGGGATATAGGGACAGAGAAAGCGACTTTGTTTTATTCTATGTAGTGAGTGGGTCCCACATAATCCCCATGAACCAAGCAGTCGGTGGCATGCGCAAAACATGTCCTCAAAAAAATGAAGCCACAGATCACATACTAGGAATAATTTCTAATCTGTCAGCAAAAATCTGTTTGTTTCATAATGTCATTGAGCTTTTAATTTTTATCAATGTTCGAAATTTATATTTTACTATTTATTACAACCCATTTTGTTAATACAAAGGAAGTAGAGAGAGGTTTTTACAACGAATATATAGTTCCACGTGTTGTCAATGGTTATGCAGCAAAACATGGAGATGTTCCATATCAGGTAAACCGTTTATACTGACATATTGGACAACAGAAACCTTCTAAAAAAATCTAATCTTATTATATCAACCATTTCCATTAAGAGGAGATTTGGTGACTCACTGTGGACGTCCTCTGCCCCATCTAGGGGTTATTAAATCAAATCATTTCCATTAAAGTCAAGTCTCTCAACCAAATTATTGCCCCTTCCAAAAAGTAGTTTCATATGGAGAAGAATGGGCAAGAAACTCCATACATACTCTTTTAAAATAATTTTTATACATTGACTTGATAATTATATGTGAAGATTATGTACCTAGAACAAAAAAAAACTACTATACTAAAATAAAATAGGCACATGGTGTTATAAAAAGCAATGCAGCAGATAACTAAATTATTATGTTGATACATGGTGCTTACATATTTACAAATATTGCAACTATAGATTTTACATTTTTATATATATGTATTCACGAAAATATGTTATTGACTGTATATCAAGACGTAATTTATATACCTCGTACTTACGACATGTTAGGTTCTCGAAATACGCCACGTAAATCGAAACGACGTAAGTCAAGAGATATTTTTTCGTATGTTTACATGTAAAACTCAAGGGTTAGGATCCACACGGACTCGAAATTAAAAAAAAACTGCATCTATAACAAAGCATATACATACTTTATTATCAAAATTATTCTTAAAATAATTATATATGCACTTATGAAATTGCTAGTTATTTTTGCTATTTGTGTGTTATTAATAATTATAAAACTTTAATATGTAATCAATATATGTAATGAGAAATAATAAATTAAACTTTTGGCTTAAAGAAACTATCAATTCTAGATTGCTTCGCTTCTTGCTATCATACAGATGTTGGTAATACTGATAGGCTGCACAAATTTTGAAACTTGTACTCAAATGTTCTAGGTGGCTTTTAAAATGAGGACTCCGCGTCGCAAACTCTGTATGACGTTTTGTGGTGGTGTAATAATTTCCCCAACCAAACTGCTCTCCGCAGCCCATTGTTTCGCTGAGGATCCGAGCATTTGTCAGAAAATATGTGGCAATCAGGGGTAGGTATAAAAATATATTTACGTCGAAGCTAATCAGATAGTTACACACCTGTATATATAGATATATTGTATGGTATAAATCATTTATCTATAAAAGTTTAAAAGAGTTTTAAACAATCAAGGTTTAATAATATGATTTATAGTAAATCTAAAGTCTAGATTATATTTCACTATTTTGTATTTAGAAGTTAATACTATTATAAATTAGGTCAAATTAGATTAAATCACCTTTTTAAAAGCCTTAATTCTATGAATCTTACCGCTTTTACGGTAGCCAAACTTTATTTCTACTAATATTTAACAAAATTATAATAATAAGAATTACAAACAAAGAGTTGACTACATTCGCCCTATTTGTTATTGAAATCTGTTTCGTCACTTTCAAGCAATAAAGAACGCAGTAAACGAAAGTAACATATCGTACGGAATGACACACCACACACCAGTTAATCTACTTTATTATTAATTCAAGAGAGGCATAAATAGATAGATAAATATAAATTATTTTAATATGTACACTATCTATATCCTAAAGAAAGTTTTTTTTAGATGAAATACGTAGATTTTTTAGTGCTTTCAGGTAAATTCGGAATTTAATGTAAATTAAATTATTGACAAACTTATTATTGAACTTCATAATTTAAATTTTTTGTCATAGACCAAAAAGAACGCTCAGCCATACGTACGCTGTAGCGGGTAACTTGAGAAATTACGATGCCTATAGCGAAGATTCAGCTGAACATGGTCAGTGGAGGACACTGAAGTCCGTAGTATATCCGAGAACTTACAAGTTTCCAAAAGACGACATTGCAATTCTGGTTAGTTAATCCTACCAACTTAGTTCTTTTTAAGACTGGCTACAGAAAAGCGCGTCCCTAATATTGGCTTCTCTATATCTAATTGTTATATCAAATAAGTTTAAGGAATTAAATATTATGACCCTATCTGGTCAATATATTCTTAAAGCCTTGTTGTATGATTTTAAAACAAATGGTGACTTTCACCAGTGTACACGCAACAGAACTAATCTAAGCGACCAACCATGCTCCAGAAGATAAACTAGTCGTTATATGGAAAATTAAAAAAGAGTGGCGGAGAGTTTCTTGCCCGCACTACGCCCTTGACTTGCAAATTGGTAATAAAGCTGGTAGACCACAAGCCCATGAACAAAAAATACCTGTGAAATGACCCAACGTGAATTACGCTTAGAAGGCTGTTACTATATCTGAAAATAGCTCTGAGCACTATGCCGTCATTTCTGAGCGGTACATGTGAGTACGTGAGTGAATGGACTTTCTCAGGTACAATGGGGGAATTTCGACTAATTATTAATGTACGGCTTTGTTATAAGTGTATAGATGATTAAAAATAAATGTCGAAAAACCTAGTGCCGTACAAAAGTGATGGTACCGGAAGTCGGTGCAAATTTTTAATTCGACGACAGTTGCAGAAGCAATAAAGGTCATTTATTACTGTACGGCATTTGTGTGATTCCTTTTGGATACATATACAGATACTTTACCCGTAAACGCCGTACATATTCCCAGCGGTGCGGTCGAAAGCCAAGGGTCGCAACATATGTCTGATTAGCATATAGGTGATGATGATATGAAACAACATAAAATTAAATGATCTTGAGAGTATTTCACAAATAGATAACATTTTCCAGCATGCCGTACATTTTTTGTGGAACACATAGGTGTATGGGGTAAATTACTTTCCTCAGAAAAGAGTCATTTTCCGGTGACTTTTATCTGTACGGCAATAACACAGGTTATTAATACTTTAGACAATCTTCAATAAAAGATAAATGCCGTACACTTTCGATAGTCCGCTACCACCGCCTACCAATACAGGGCGTCCCAAAGTTATGGGAAATGAAGGGAAAGTACCTTAAATATCGTAGATAGGGTATTTTACTAAAAGAAGACTTTATGTTATTTTTAAAAGTTATTAATTCTGCATTCAAAGATTTTTTAAAAATTACTTGCTTCGTCTGGGAATCGAACCGACTTAAATGTAAAAAAAACACCCCTACTTTTATGATGCCAATCAAAAGAATGGCCAAAAACTAATAACTCTTCTTAAGTAACATAGTATTTTAAAAGAAAGGAACAGCGTGAATATATCTTTTAATCAAATTAAAAACATTATCTATCGTATTCGGCCAAAAAAAATCCCCTACGAGTCTGTTACTTTAGAAAAGTTATTAGGTTTTGGCCATTCTTTCGATTGGCATCATAAAAGTAGGGGTGTTTTTTTTTAATTTAAGCCGGTTCGATTTCCAGACGAGGCAAGTAGTTTTTAAAAAATCTTTGAATGCAGAATTACTAACTTTTTAAAATAACATAAAGTCTTCTTTTAGTAAAATACCCTATCTGCGATATTTAAGGTACTTTCCCTTCATATCTCATAACTTTGGGACGCCCTGTATTATATTTTTATTTTTGTTAAAAATATTTTTCCTTTACCTCTCTCTGCTGGTACGATAAGGCTGTAAATATACTTTACAGCCTTATGGTAGTATACTCAGATATGTACAGTTATTAATGACCTTAAGGGACACCTCAAACGTCGTCGAAGTTTTTATCAGCTGTAAAGAATAATCTGGAGTAAAATGTACGGCATCTGGTTTTTTTTGTTTATTTATATTTGTTACATATAACATAACAATAATCTTTGAAAATATTACTCCCCATATTACTCTAGGAGCATTTGAAAAGTCATCTAAATTTCGGAAATTTCATATATTTTTTATCATAATATTTTTATTTGTTACCATTTAAAATGAACGGCTATAAGGTACAACGGTAATATTTAGTAACATTATGTAAAAAAACAAGTTGCCGTACATTATTCTCTCATCTTACAGCAGCAAGAACTTGGTAAATCCTGAAATTTCGATAAATATTTAATTACACAAATATTAACTATAATATTTGGACGGCATAATTATAAAACATTATTGTCCGTGTTAAATAATATTTTGAACATGTTGCCGTACATTTTACAATGACCTTAGGGTATATGGGTGTAGGGGTAGGGTTCCGACCCTTGGCTTTCGACCGTTCCCCTGGAAATATGTACGGCGTTTACGGGTAAAGTATCTGTATATGTGTCCAAAAGGAATCACACAAATGCCGTACAGTAATAAATGACCTATATTGCTTCTGCAACTGTCGTCGAATTAAAAATTTGCACCGACTTCCGGTACCATCACTTTTGTACGGCACTAGGTTTTTCGACATTTATTTTTAATCATCTATATACTTATAACAAAGCCGTACATTAATAATTAGTCGAAATTCCCCCATTGTACCTGAGAAAGTCCATTCACTCACGTACTCACATGTACCGCTCAGAAATGACGGCATAGTGCTCAGAGCTATTTTCAAATATAGTAACAGCCTTCTAAGCGTAATTCATGTTGGGTCATTTCACAGGTATTTTTTGTTCATGGGCTTGTGGTCTATGGGGCATGACACAAAAATGTCGGGCAACACTGGTACATTGCATCGCTGACTGCGTTTTATAGAATGTAGTTTTGCTAGTAGCGAGCCAATCAAAGTGCGTGATTCCGATGCTTTAGGGGCTGTATTTTGATTTACAGTACACATCCAAACCTTTTCATTTCAACAATAATGTGCGTGCGATTCCAATAGCGAAGAAATATATCGACTACCATGGTAAATGTCTGGTTTCCGGATATGGGCGTACGTCACGACAAGTTAGTTTATTTTAAATTATATTAACGCGTTCCTAGACCGATACTTCCAATTGAAATAACGATTCTGACGCTTTTGTATGCAATTTTGATGTATTTCGATATGCGTACTTCTAACGTAATTTGCATATAGAAAATTGTTCAAGTATCTTAAGCAGATTAACTTTGTAAAACTCGTATTTTGTTTATTTATTATGATTGAATTACGCGATATTGTTAATATTATTTTCGACTTTCCAGTACTTTACTCCACATAATGGTAACTTTTAGGTATAAAGAGTCGCTAGGTGGTCACGAAACGTTTTAGTATACCTACTTGGGTACAGAAAAACGTTACGGCGCGTTACATGGATGGGGGTGGGGTCAATAATCTCCAAAAATTGCGTGATACTTGCGTAATACTTGAACGCTCCCCTTGCCATTTCTACAATTTTGGTTCTCATAATATCCGTAGCGATGTTACAATATATGAAATTTCGCGGTAGAAAGACTCAATAAAGTACGCTATCGGGATTGCTATTGTTACAGAGTACCAAGTCTGATAGTTATTAGCGTCTTTATTATTATTTTATTGTTACGACGTTATCATATTGGTTTCCTGTAAGGAACATACACTAGTATGTATTTTTTTGTGAATAAATAAATCTTTGAACCGAACTTTAACTTAAGATCTTACTTATCGATAAATAATATTGAGATTTTCTAGGGGACTTCAGATAAACTTCTCCTCGCACACTTACACCTTCTGCCAAATAGGCAATGCGGCCTGAGGTTTCGGAAAAATATGAGAAAGTTTGTTTGCACGGACACTGTTGTCAACGACGTTGGAAAGGTAAGGTTTTTCATATATTGCTTTTGTGAGTTTTCTAAAACTCGATGTTAATAAATAGGAGTTACCAATTTCCACTTTTATAGAAACTATTCTGTAGCCTTTTTATGTTTAATTATTCTCTAATATTCTTATTTTTTTAATACGAGTTCCTTCAACTAATCATTCAAGCCAAAGTGGCAGGTAGGAGACCTGGTAGCAGCTCACACATCTTGCTTAAAGAATCGGCAAAGACCAAGTGGTTCAGAACAAAATCCAACCCAAAATCATATTAGACATTACTAACCTTCGAAAGGAGGTGGCACTATAAGAAGAAGAATTAACGGAACATTTTCCGACTTTTAACCCGTGAACGCTGGGGTCCCACAAGGCTGTGTCCTTTCCCCGAATCTTTTTCTTCTGCATATCAATGACATGATTCAACATAGCAATATTCATTGTTATGCGGATGATAGCACTCGGGGATACTCGCTTCACTGGCCATGCAGAATACCTATAGAATCTAAAAGGCTGGCAACGCACTCGCGAGCCCTCTGGCATTGTGTGTCCATTATATCACTTAACATGCCCGTTTGCCCCCTGTTACATAAAAAACTGGAAAAGAGATCATTATTTTTATCTTAATTAAGGATTTTCCTTAACTAAATCTTTGAAGAACGTGAATTGATTACAGTTTAATTAATTTATCTTTTTCATGAAGTGGATGTCGTGATGTGTTCAATACCTACACTTTTTAGGGAGATTCGGGCGGACCTCTTGTATGCAGTAAAACTGGAGACCCCAACGAAGGACCCAATGGAGTGTTGGTTGGAATTGTCAGCGGAAATCAAAGACGCGCCGCGTCATTTTTTACACGTGTCTCATACTTCGCTAGATATATTGAAAGAAACAAAGCGACTTTGGCACAGCCTATCTTTATATTATATACAACATTTTTGCTACTTTGATTTTGTTTTATTTCTGTAGGCATAATTTATTGAAATATTTTCGATTGGAAAACGCTTACTAAATCAGAAGATAAAAAACCTAATATATTATCATACAGCGCCATCTATCATTATAAACGCACAGTTTCTTACTAAAAAAATTATCTGTCTGATAACAATTTATTGTATATAATGATCTTGCACGCGTTGTAAATATATAGATGTATAGTAATCCTACCCTATAACGCGTTCTATTCCTGTAAAACCGTTTTTGTGGACAATTCCAAAATTAGGAAAACTAATTTAATACAGTTATAAAGTTAAATTAAAAGGCCGGCAACGCACCTTTGAGCCTTTTGTCAATGTCAACATCAGATGAGCCTCCTGCCCGTTTGCCTCCTATTACATAAAAAAATAACACAACTGAAACCGGTGCAAAGGTATGCAAAACTAATTATGGGCTTGACGAATCATTATAAATTTCACACTACAGAAAATAGAAATATAACTTGAGAAATCTTCGCGTTAACTAATTAAGCTCGCATCTAACTAAATGTTTTTATTATTAGAATAATATTAAAAAGGAAACTTCGAATATATTAAAATTACTGCTAATATTTTACTGAGAAAACATAATACATATAACGAGTATATTTGTATGGAATTTCAAAGTGGAGGATGTATCTGTCACCCATTTGTGAAAGATACCGGTGCGGACGTGCAGGCTGGGAAGGTTTCGATTGATGAGTGACGTCACACCAACCAATACACCCTTCTTTTCGTCTTCAGCTGGGTCCCCAGTACCAAAGCAGACGAGTCCACCACCTTCTGCTTCCTATAATCGATCGATAATATATAATACCAGCTGACCCGGCAAACGTTAGTTTTGATGTATATGTATGATGTATATAATTTGTAGGAAAAAAATTTTTCGTTCAATAAAAATAACTATCAACAATAATAAGAAAATGGGGATTGATCGTAGAGGGGTGAAAATTAGGGGCTGTATGTATTTTTATTATATGATGTCGATATTGTCGTTCGGACGTCACTCTCCCGCCGCCGCGCCAAGGAAATTTGATCAAAGGTTTTTGCCGGTATCTGTAGATGAACTGAGTTGCCAGACTTTTGTTTACAACTTATGTTTTTGATCGCAATATATATTAGTTAAACTGTACTCATTCAATTAAAATTGTTTCTTACTGTGGCTGCCAGTGCTCCATCGAATTCAGTGCAATAATATTGCCAGCAACTTCTCAATAACTGACGTTCACACGAACGTTGATTGTGCACTTTTAAATCGACCGTAAATAGGCTCTTGTCGATTGACCAACTCTGAAAACGATATATTGATTTTCGAGATAAGATATGAATCTCTGTGATTAGCTCCGTCATAGTGTCTATTTTACTGATATATTTATGTATATATTTATAAAAAATAATTTCAATCACGGTGTCAGATGCGATGATCTCTTCCCATTTCCATTTTTTATACTAAAAAACAATAACAAGGTAAAAAATAGCGTACAAGTTAATTTAAATCTAATTTTAGTTTAAGCAATAGAAAGGAGAAAAATCTTGTTCCGCTAATTGTTTTGAGCAGTATATATAGTATCCTTTCAAAATGAGATTTAAAAATACTGTACATTATGTAATGATATCTTAAATTTTTCGATGAAATTTTGGATTTGTTAGACGATAGGACGCGTTGCCAGAATGACTTCCTCTGCATTTATATTGATTCAATTTAAAATTTGCTGCTTTACTAAATTGTATTGTTTCATTTCCAAAACAGGTCAGTTGGTGTAATTTATTTTCTCGATAAATTCAAGATTACAAGACATTAAATTGCTAGCAGAGCTAATTCTGCACCACATAATATTTAGGAAAATGTATATAGACAGTGGCGTAACTATACCATCTGGGGAACGAGGCAAATTCTTTTAATGGGGCCCTATCAGTCAAAATCGTCACGTTATACTCATTTTAATTTTAATAAACTTTGAGATTTTCTGAGTACTCAATTACACGTTGTATATGTCCCACTAATGGCTATAGGCCTCCTCTCTTTGGCGAGAAAGAATGGTCAGTAGTCCCAACGCTAGCCGAATGCGTTGGAGACTTTTTTATTGGAGACTTTACATTCATCCATAGAACACAATATCTCTTGGGCAGGGGCCCTCTTGGGTCGGGGGCCCGTGGCATTTTGCCAGCCCTGCCACCCTATTATTACGCCACTGTAAATAGGTAATATATATATATATAAATGTTATATTTAATAACCTTACTTTTGTAGTCTTAAGAAGAACACCCATACAAACTCCATCAAAATTATAATTTTTAAGAGAATATGGAATCTTGTTTACAAACTGATTTAATTCCCACTTCTTATTCACCTCCTAGAAACATAATATGCTACTATTAAAACTTATAACTAACATTAATCAGAAAAACATATTCCAACTTACAACGACAGCTAAATTATAAGCTGGAAATCTGTAGAAACGTTGCGTATAGACGTGTTTAGGATTCCTCCATTGCTGTACATCATGAGAAAGAGGCTGCTGAGCTATGGTGTGGAGTATACCACCAACAACACGTATTTTGTCTAGGCTTCGCTTTAACCTGTATCATAGAAAATATTACATGGTATTCAATAATTTAAATTAAAGGATCTTCCGACTAGGAAATGTATTATTAATGAAAAGATTATTTGCGTGAGACACTGTAGTTGATATAAATTTAATAACATATGATATCATATGTACGATACAAATAATATAAGAATTGACCAATTCATATGACTAATAATGTATAATATAAAATTCTTTTAAAGACAAATTTGCGCGCCATTGTGTGTGGCAGAATATGCGAGCTTAAGACTGTACCACCTTACACATTTTTGTACCATATTCTTGCAATAAATTATTTAAAAAAATAGAACTAAACTACAGGGGAGTGACTAATCACCTAAAGGAAATAGCATAACTAATTAGGTCACGCAATCAGTCAGTTAAGCAAGTACGTATATAGTAAAACCAAGTAAAAAAAGAATTAATTGTAACCTTTTTCTGTTTGTATAAAAGCAATGTGCGGAAGTCAAAACCCTGTCGTCACTGACAATGCTTCCGGTACAGAAAGCTCGGTAATCCAGTTTCCATTTGTCATACAATCGGTAAATAAAAACCTGAAAGATTTCATACCTACAGTGAGGATCCTCGCCTATTATTATTATCCCTTACTTGCCGTCCCGAAAGCTCCCGTTTTTTTTTAAAACTGGAATCGTGATGTTGCCCTGAAGGGCCTTGTTTGGCCTAGCTGAAGGAGGCCAGTGGCTGATATCGAGATGGGTTTATTAAGTTGTCCGAATTACTTTGATAGAGCGATTCAGGTATAACGTCATCGTACGGATTGTATCCGCAGGTCGTAGGGCTAGTACATACAGCCGCCTGCGCCGAGAGAGGGCGTGATTCTCAACTCTGTCGAACCTCGGTTATGGACAACAAACCTTTAACGTTTAACATATAAAGATACTAGCTGACCCGGCAAACTTCGTTATGCCGTTTATCTAGGAAACGTTATTTTAGTTCAATAAAAATAACTATTTACTATAATAAAAAATAGGGGTTGATCGTAGAGATCAAAAAGTTTTGTCTAAAAAATAAAAATATAAATCTAGATGTGGGACCACCCTTAATATTTAGGGGGATGAAAGATGACTAAGACTCACTGAATATGCATAGAAAATGCCGTTTTGGAGGAGTATGGGAACGAACATTGTGAAACGAGAATATTATATATATATTAGATCAAATCAAATAACTTACATGGTGTGCCAACGTACCGAGCGTTATTTTCTTTGTATAGACCCCTGATTTTAAGATGACGGTAGGAGCCTGAAAAACTTTTAATTGCATTTATATGTATATCGAAGCAGAAGTTAACTATAGAACAACCTAAAACTGTACATGGCAAAGGAAAATTGCTTATTATTAATAAGTTTAGATTCATCTCTTTATTGACAATTGAATCCTCTTATTGCACCCGCAAACATCTTGAACAAATGTCCTTGCCTGCGCAGAAGCGATTTTTAGGTATCACTGGGAGGGGGGCGGCGTAAGAATGACGTGTCGATCGCGTGATTGGTAAATCAGTTGACGTTTGTGTCCCGCGCTGTTCAAGATGTTTGCCGGTATCTGTAATAAATAAACCTTACCACAGAACGTCAGTATATTATACAAGTAACCGTGATTCTAGTAGTTTTTGAAGTTATACTTCTTTAGGCGCGTTATGAAAAATTGATGAGAGTGAAATTTTGCGATGCGCGCGCACCGTGACACAAAAACAGAATGAAGTTGCCCACTGAAGATGCTACGGCATTGGACATAATTTAAAAACAACATTCGAATAATAATAATAGAATTTATGTTACACTTAATGTAAGAGAATAATAATAAATATTTATTTATTTAATTTTTCAAATGTAAACTGAACTTTATTGACTATAATGACTCCTTTTCCAGTTTTTGATTATTTAATTTTAATTATTTGCATGCAATCAAAAACTATTTTTAATAATGCCAAAGTATAACTTCTTACGCGCGTACATAAGTACACGCACCCTTTTTTTATAGGGGTCAAGCGGGCAGGCGGCTCATCTGGTGTTAAGTGATACATAGACACAATGTCGCGTTTCTGTGACTGCGCTAGAGATTATATGACCAAGTTCAATTCCCGAGTGTATCAAGTGTTGTTTCTAGTATCTAGAGTCTTGATGGTAGAGTCTTGGTTGTGTTATATATATCCAAAGGCTTATACTTTACCTTTTCTAGGGTAACATTTATTGAATTTACACAATTTAATACAATCAATAATATACTAAGATATATTGCGTTCGAGTTATTTACACATGCATATTTATATAACACTATAATTATGGTTGATGTATAAAAATATTTTTTGCATTCTACGCGTTCGATTGACAGTCTTTGTCAAGATTATTACAGACTGCTAAAGAAGATTTCGAAATAATATAGGTTTTACATCATTAAATCGCTTCTATGATTTATGATTTAATTGTCAATATCCGTAAAAGTCCGTCAAATATTCGATCTGAGGGCGGATGCATGATGCTTAATCACTATAGTCGTATTTTTAATTAGACGAAGTCAACTGACGTTTACGGTGTTGCCATTTTTTAATGAAATAAAAATAGTGTTGTGACAAAGTAAAAACCCCTGAATTAATGATCGGTGATGGCACTAGTCGCCGCGCCGCGCTTTGTAATAAGCCGTCAAAAAACTGATTGTAGTTGCATAGTACTAGTACCTAACTTATATCAGAGCACTTTTATACAATTTTCAAATAGAAATAATATTCTTTTATAGTTTGAAATGATTAACTATTCACACTCATTGTTCATTTATCTGGTTGAACAAGAACTGAACGCAGCACTATTACTTTAAATATGGCAACATTATTTTACAAAGTGACATTAGCTACTGTCAGTTGGCTTCGTCTAATTAAAAATACGACTATAGGTAAATATTGCCCAAAAATAGGACAAAAATCTGTAAAAAAAACACTCTTTGGAATCAAAAGTAAATTAAGTAAACGAATAAGGTTTTCTTAGATATTGTATTTGGTAGTTATATACTGCTTGCTGGTGCCTTATCTGAAGTCCAGTACCCAGTGGGCAGTTACATTTGTATGTCTGTTTTATTGTTAACAGGTACAAAACAGATTAATGTTTCGCAGGGAATAGAACGTTCAGTAATACGCCTAGAGCGTTACTACCTGGAGTATTGAATTACCACTTGTAATTACTTAACTTGGCCTAGGATATACTGTTACATCCGTCCTAAACCTCATAGTCTATTTTCTTAGGTAGCATACTCACTGCTTGCCTTAGAAATTCGATAGTGCCCTCCATGTACGATTTAAGCACTCGCCCGGTACCGCACAACCCTCCCAAAGGCAGAACACAAATTTAAATTTATAGAAATAAACTTGCGCTCCGACCGGGAATCGAACCCGATACCCCTCACCTAGCGGATACTTAATAAGACCGCTAGGCTATGGGGCCCTATTAGAGCGTTACTACCTGTCCGTAACGGTATTTAAGTTTTACACAAAATGTATCCTGTCAATTGTTAATAATAGACATCGAACAAGAAAATGTTAATTAGACAAGCCATTTGCCGAGTACATGACTTGTTTGGCTGAACGAGTTATTCGTAGGAAATTCGGTAATCCGAATAATGAAATGCATGAATTTTATACAACTTTATTAGTGCATTTTAAATATTAGTTATAAGTTATCGCTGAAATAACAGTTATAAAGTTTTAATTTATGCAAACGCAGATAGAAATTGTGGAGAACACATTTCAATACAGTTATTTTTAAACTCTCAACGATTCAATGTGGTTGTGCTACTGATACTAAGTAATTTTTTTGTTCTTTGGCCCGTTGGGTTCAAGTGCACAGGCGCTAATTAAAGATTTAAGTTGGTGCCTGGTAGATAGCACCTACCGGTGACCCCAGAGCTGGTGCTTTCCTCGCTCAAGGAATAAGTATCGCAATACAGCAAGGAAATGCTGCCAGCATTAAAGGTACACTGCCACAGGGCCTAACTATTTAATTTTGTTAATTTTTTTATATATATTTACTATATATTACTATGTTGGTTAAGATAATTGTAAATAATGTATATTTTTAAACAAATACTAATATTATAAGAATGTTATGTAATAATTTAAAAAAAAAACCAGCTGAAACGATTTAAAAACACATTCACTATTAGAATGCTACATAATCCCCGAGCGTCGTAGGCGGTTTTTATTTCCAAAACATTTACAAATCAATTGAGAAAGAAATTATTTTATTAAGAATACATATATATATATATGCTAGCAGACCGGCCAAGCGTTGCTGTGGTTAAGGTTTTAGTTATATTACATAGTAGTAATCTATTCAAGGGAAACGGTAGGAGAATACCAGCCATGGGGACCACCATGAGTTTTGGTGGTAATGCCATTAAATTGTAGCTTATGTGAAACGTTGGTACTTTCAACACAGCGCCATCTGTTAGAATTGTGACTATCAAATAATAAACAAATATTTTGCAATAAAATAATATTACGGGTATAAATTGAGATGTAAGCTATCCTATCTTTTAAGTTAGATCAAACTGCACACAGTGTGCAAATTTGATTGAAATTGGTTCGGTAGTTTAGGAGATAGCGGACAAACAACGTGACACGTAATTTATAATGAAGATAAATAAAGATAATATCTTAGTACTACATTAAACAAAATAATAAAATGATGCCCCCAGCAGCGTCTGCGTATGAATAAATTCAAATCATTTTCATTGTCGATAGTGTTTTTTTTTTATAGGAAAGAGGTCAAGCGATCCTACGAGACGCCCAAAAGAGCAGTCATCGCAGCCCATAGTCGTCCATTTTAGTGGGTGCGTTGCCGTTTGAGGACGGAGTAAATACTTTTTAAAACAATTGGAGGTCGTTTCTCCCAGGGAAGGCCCCCACCCTAGTCAGGGAAGACCATGAATCGATTACAGCTCGCTAGTCCACAAAAGAAAATGTCCTGTGAAGCGTGGAAGACATCCAGCCACCAAATAGTCATTATGTAAATTGACAGATAGGTCGCAAAAATACAAACTCCACGAAATCCACGCTGCAAGCGGAATCGTTTACTAAACAATGCTTTTAGGTGAATTTTCCGATTATCCAGTTCGCATGTTCGTGGCACGTAGGTACAGTTAAATGGTGGCATTTCGAACTGGTTACTTGTTTAGTTTGTTCACGACCAGCCGGCATGGAGCACGCATTTACGCTCATCGCAATCTCGTGTAAGTACTTTTTACGAACATTGAACCGTGACTTCCATTGAAGCGACTTTCACTATTGTTATAACTTTGTTAGTCAATACAGGGCTAACACGCCTATACCATTTGAACAACACACAAATATACAATATTCTTATGGTTAAAAATAATATATTAAAATTGTTAAATAGAAAATTAAAACATAAAAGTTTGATCCCTGTGGCAGTGTACCTTTAATGCTAGCAGCTTTAGCTGTATTACTTACGTATAACAATTAAAATAAACAGTCGACAAAATGCACCAAACTTCATACTAAAATCAGGTCGAATTAAAACCTTCAGTTTTGAAGTTGGTTTATTACAATTTTGAGACACTTGAAACTCATTCATAATGTATTTATTATCTGCACATGTATTGTACGTAAATTCACGTATTAAATCCCTTAAATATCACAGTAGGAGCTTATATAATGCATAAAAAATTGTACAATAATATGGAGATTAGTCCCGGTCGATTTAGGGCAGTAAAGGTCCTCTTCTTTCTATTAATTATAGTGAACTTATTTCAAACTATACTAAGTTAGTAGCTCTAAAGAATGTGTTGTACTCATTTGTAAATTAATATGGGTATACCGACGCGACGATAGCAGTGTAGAGACTAAGAAATGAGAGTTAGCGTGCATACGTACAAATAACATTAAAATATACATGTCTACAAACAACTTTTTTAATTATTTAAAAAACTGGTGTAAGTTAAAATCTGTTAGAATAATTAACTGTTGGAATCGAGCTTTCGTCAACTGTCATTTTCATACAAAGGTCTATCCACAGACACCGATACGACCTCCCATGGATAGCTTGAGCTTGACAGATGGTGGATTATGGATTGAGATAGGTTATTGGGTTCGGGCGTTAGTCTGACTTTCGTACGTCAAGTGACGCATTTTGACATAAGGGACTCATAGTTCACGTTACGTTTACATATCTCACCTAAGCCTCAACTCTGAATGTTATTTTCGACACATAATAGCCACCCACTAAATATATACACAGTTCTTTTTGCGTAGACTGAATGATTTTACAGTTGATTACTTTGTTTATATAAACCGCATACAATAACGGTTCAATGAAATTACATAACCGAAATGGAAGTAATTTTAATAACATACCACGATTTCTTATATATCCGTGCTATTTGCTAATACTTGTATACAATATGTTATTTTAGCTACGGAACTATTAAGACTATGGGAATTCAGTAATGTAGTGGATTTGAAAAACAGGAGTCATAGCGCTAAGTGTAGACTTTGAAGGTGATAAGAAATGAGATTTACGTAGGAGAGTGACCGTTCGAACTTAAGTCTCTTACCATTAGCGTTCTTCTTTTCTAACTGTGCATAATAAATACCCTGTAGGAGAAACATAGACGCAATAGGTACGACACAGAAGACACGAGTGCGACATATGTTTAATTAAATCGATACATTCAGACACATTCTATTTTTGTACACATATAATACCTTATCCAGTATCCATCAAATAGTATTAACTAAATATAATTATTTCCTGCTATGAAAGTTAAGATTAATAGTAATTGACCCCTTTTAACTCTATCATACTGTTCAGTGATTCATTACGCTATGCAAACTGACTTCTAGATGAAGTGGTCTTGCCTTATATGTTATTTATGCTCTATTTATATTCCATGACTACTGACATTCCTGCGTATTGTAATTTGTCTAGTTACTCATGAAGAGAATAGTAATTTAATACGCCATTGTATTTCTTATTGTTGGTGGTTAGAACACCGCAGTTTTTTTTATGTAAGGCGAACAGGAGGCTCATCTGATGTGAAGTGATACCGGCGCCCATGGACGCTCACATTGCCAGAAGGCTCGCAATTGCGTTGCCGAAGGTGCAGTAACTCAAATGAGAAGGTCTAAATCCAGTGGCGTAACTATACCATTTTCAGAGTACTCAATTACACGTTGTATATGTCCCACTAATGGCCATAGGCCTCCTCTCTTAGGCGAGAGGGTATGGTCAGTAGTCCCCACGCTAGCCCAATGATTGGAGACTTCACATCCATCCTTAGTACATTATATGTCTCTTGGTCAGGGGCCCTCTTTGGTTGGGGGCCCGTGGCATTTTGCCAGCCCAGCCACCTTATTGTTACGCCTCTGTCTAAATCAAATCAAATCATAAATCATTTATTCATGTAGGTAAAACAATGTACACTTATGAACGTCAGAAAAAAGAAATATACATTAAATGCTTCTAATTTTACATTTACTGCCAGTTCTCAAATCAAGGACGTAGAGCGGAAGATAAGAACTGGCAATAAACTCTCTGCCACTCTTTTTAATCGCCAAGTTTTTTTTTACACAACGTTTGTAAGGAGCTGCTACCATTAAATCGTTGTACACGTGTTCAACGGGGGTAGAAACTGGGCTGGGGTCCTTCATATCAAGGTCGAAACTCTAACCAATCACTCATCAGTCATTTATTTTATCGTATATTATCGAACAATATCTACATGAACTCAAACAAGTTATATCAATTGTAGTTGTAATTGTTGCGCATGCTGTCTCTCACATTTCATGACTCAAACTTTATAAATATTCAATGAATTTCTATCATGTAATCGTTATAAGGCATAACCGGCTTCGACGTTTGCTTTCATAGTTGATATTTATACGATACTAGTGGAGCCCACAGACGTTGTCCTGCATGATATTTAAAGCGATTAGGATATTAAGCAAAGTATGAAAGTACCGACTGCAGTGCCATCTGCCGGGCTGATTTGTGAATCTAAACCATTCCCAGATCCACAAAAAATTTCATCAAAATCGGTCTAGTCGTTTGAGAGAAGTTCAGTCACATACACACGCACACAAGAAATATATATATTAAGATTTATCGACGTTTTAGCTTTACAAACTGAGTAATTTAGATACAGTAGTAGACCTTACATACCTGTCAATACATATCCCATTAGACAATGTATGGATACAAATGACTCAAAGACTAAAACCGATTTTATTTCTTGATATGATTTTTAGTTTCGGAGAAAGTTTAGGACAACCAAACAAACATACGAAATTTACCACACGTAGTTGCGGTTCCAACAACACCAACGTTCGTTCTGTTTTTGTGCAGAAAGTGTAGTTGCAAAAACAAATATTTTCTGCAAACAAATTGTAACAAATATAGGCTTATAATTAATGATACTTCCCTTTAAAGTAGAGACTCTTGGGCCGTGAGGTTCAAGTGCACAGGCGCTTATAAAAGATTTAAGTAGGCGCCTGGTAGATAGTACTATGACCCCAGACCTGGTGGGTTCCTAACGAATGAGTATCGCAATACAGCGAGGAAATGCTGCCAGCGTTAAAGGTGCCACAGGGACCAATCTTTTTACATTTGTTTTAATTTTCTATTTATTAATTTTTAGTTATTATTATTATGTAGGTTAAGAATATTGTAAATACTGTATATTTGTGTGTTGGTAATAAATTTAACTTATTAATGATAATATTTTTCTTCGACTTCTTTAAACAGTCACAGTTGCAGAACATTCGCAATCCACACGCAAAATCACAATGTGAATATTATCACGTACTCAGATAATTCAATTCGTATTCAAAAACGGTATTCAAGCTAGACATTCCTACATTTTGTACATTGCATTATAAGAAATGTACTGAATTTTTTTTACTTAACAGGTATATATAATATACCTGTATTACACATTACTGTATAACTGAATTATACAATAAAATAAATCCATAACCGGCGGTGTTCAATTGGAAATAAATTATACTTAAAATATTTTAGTTAACCATTTAATTGGAAACAAGGTCACCTATAGTTTTATTTACCTTGTACTCATTCAGTCTTTCTCAGGAATTCTCTGACAAATAGTAAACTTTGCAGGGCAGCCATTTTAAAATAATATAATCATGTTTAATTCATATTCTGTTATGAAAATTGGCATACAAGCAAACAAAAGGGATTCTTTTGAAACAAAATAAAAATAACTACATTAAATTACACAGTTTTCTAGAAAAGTCAATGAGCGTCTATCAAATCCGTCACTTTACCGACTGATTAAATTTATAACACATGGATTTTTTTTAATGTAGCCGTAATATTTAGTCAGTGTAGGATCCAAGTATGATAAAAAGTGGATTTTGGATTTTTTTCAAATCCGACATTGTTCTACGATCATGACGATTTATTTACATAATATTCTACATATCTATAACAAGCAAGTTTAAGCGTGGTGAGATACGTATATTTTAAGTTACACAATCCTTTAAAACATTTGCGCGTCTAACGACTCCTTGCCAATCTTTTGGAAGATTTATCTACATAACGATACATCTAACGAAGAGTTATCAAGGGTAGTATCTAAATTTATCAATGAATGGAAAAATACTCGTCAGAGGGACTTGAACTTCGGGTATCGTTTTGCAAACCTTGAGAACCTGTTTTGGTTCTGCCGATGTTGTTTCTCCGAAATAAAATAAAGTATTTCTTATTGACTTTTTGCCGACCTTAAAGCCGGTTGCAGACCGAAAACTAAGCTATGCCAAGGCTAAACTAAGCTATGCCAAGCAAGCTAGACTAAGCTAAGCTAGAAATAAATAGCGTGCACACCAACAGCTAACCCAAAGCTCAGTCAGTGTTGCATAGTATGTGCAAAGGGTGTGCGGGGTAGCGGGAGGGGCTTAACTTAGCTCGTGTAGCTGCGCATCGGCATACACAACTAACTTAGCTTCGCATATTTTAGTTAGCTCACATAGCTTAGTTCGCATAGTTTGCGGTCTGCACAGACGTATGGAAAATTGCGTCAGCTATGCGAGCTAAGCTAAACTAACGTAGCTTAGCTCTTGGTCTGCAACGCGTATAAAGCTTTTATTATGATATTGCTTGACCATTTAGATGGGTTCTATTACAGTTGAAACAACTTGTGCTATCAACTACTGGTTTCTAGTTGATAGCACAAGGCTAATCCCCTACTTGAATAAACAAAAGCAGAAATGTGACTACACTTTTTCAAATCTAATTTAAAATCCAGAGTAATGTGCAATTGGTTGTTACAATTGTCATTCCTCTGACTCCAAGGCACGATACATACACACCAACTCCATGCTTGTCGCGTCTATTCCGTAAGAAGCGATAACAAGTGTACATCTACAACTTTAGACTAATTTGTTCCCTCATTACTAGTAGTTGGAGTAGATAATCTTCAGTCCCATAGATGTCTCTTGGGTAGTCAATATAAAACTTTCTAGTCCCAAAAATATATCGAATGCTATTTGCTTTATGACCAAATTCATTTAAGTTTCAGTGTTCCAACTATGTGGAGCAGACACGACAAAATCAGTACCAGGATGGTACGCTGCTAATCTTATCAACGAATCGAACTATTCGCCGAAGCCGATCACCGAGATTTTCTCTACCGAAAGCCCACTCTCTTCGGATAAACCAGTTGTTATACTGCAATCAACACAGTCGCCTATAACCCAAGATATACTGTCCACTCCCTCAACATGGAGTACTGGAAGTACAAGTACACCAAGCACGAGTTATACACAGACACAGTTTCCACGGATTCTGGGAGGAAATGACGGCCAAAGACTACTACAGTCAGGTATTCCCTCCACTTTACCACCAACCACCTATTCCACGCAAATACCAATAAATAACATACAGGATGCAATAGGAAACCATGATGTTTCCGGCATAATTGGAACATTGGAGCAGATACTGCAGTCTCGCCAGGCTTCATCATTTGGACCAAGTCCAATCCCAACAGTAGCTGTAACTCCTTCTACTATACAAACCTGGTTGCCAACACAGTCGACTTTACCACCACAATCAACAGAATGGAGTACATTTTCAACAGGATCGCCTATACCGTTCCACGGAGAAACGTTTAGTACATCATCACCATACATCCCTACACTACCTCCAAGGTCCAAATCTGCTCCAAATCTTCAGCCAAGAAGGCCATGTGATCAAGCAAAAGAACAGTTGAGACCGCCAAAATTAAATTCTTCTACTCCCACGCTTTTAATGCCACTTCCTAAACCAATTCTTACGATTCGTCTGAAAGCGCCAAAAGGTTCGATAACTAATTTACACATCAACCCAAGTACAACGACAACGACAAAGAAGCCATCAACAACAAAAAGGAAGAGTACCAAGAGGAAGAGCGATTACAACACATGTTTAGACTCTTGTAAAGATAAAAGAGATCCGATTTGCTCTGGCCCACAAGGAATCACTCCTGTCGAATCAAATACTTTAAAAGGCTTCCCGTCTTTATGTCACATGGCGTGCCATAATTCTTTTAGAAAAGAAAGTAAGTATAAATAAAATGAAAATATCATTTTTTAGGTAACATACATTAGTACACTAAGGAAAGTCAGGAACAAATTTTTTAAAGCAGGAGGCTCACCGGATGTTAAGTGATACCGCCCGCCCATGGACACTCACATTGCCAGAAGGCTCGCCAGTGCGCTGTCAAACTTTTAAGAATTGGTGCCCTCTTTTATTGAAGGACTTTAAGTCGAATTGGTTTGGAAATACTTCAATGGACAGGTTCCACACAATACTGCCAGTTCTTAAATCAACATACGAGAAGAACTGGCAATAAACTCTCCGTCACTATATAGTTACCAATATTATATGGTTATAGTCTTTTGTTTAGACCAATAAACTGTTTCTGATAAATTAGTTTTCTCTGCTTTATATCCGAAGTGTTTAACAAATGTAAACAAACAAAAGTATCTTTAATACTACTATGAACTGATGTATTTAATCAATTAAATGTAGAATATTATAAGAAATCTCACTAATGTTACACAAATATCGTTTACCCTTTCAGTTACATATGAAAAAGTCGCTGACGGCCGTTGCGGAAAACTACGAACACGTATACGCACGATTGAGAAAAATAAGATAAAGCGAGAAGATTTGAAGAAGGCTCAATACACTGTGTCGCACTCCGGTCCAGAGACAATAGTCGAATTTTCGTCATTGAAGCGTTGATCTTGCGTCTTAGTTATACATAATAGTGGGACATTTCAGTCAATTATAATTTTTCAAGGAAAGTGTTAGTAGAAATCCCAAGGATATTATACCTAGATGTGAATAATAAGACGTTATACAAATGTCTATTTCCTGATCATTTTTGTACGCAGCATTCAGTGTTTTTTGTCTCTAAAGGGTTTAACTAAGGACGTAATGATTACTGATTACGAAGAGATGTTACCTATATAGAAATATTTTTATTTTTGGAAAGTTCTATACATTGAATTTTCTTCAAATTAATTCACCACGCTAACAACTACCCCAGGGCACATTTTATTCGATAGTTTAGTGAATTTGTATTTGATATGATGATAGTTTGCAACAGCTCCTAGGCATTGATTATTATCCATACCTTACAGTGCTACTGTTTAGTTCCAAATACGGCCACAGAGCGCTGATCAAGTTTGGCATACAAACAAACAATGTTGTAAAAAGTGTCTGCGGAAAGTAAACTGTCAAGGGTCGTTGCAGTGCTTCTTCTGTTATATTGATAACACTGTATGTTTATTACCATCTTGATAGTTAATATCAAATTAAAAGTATGTATATAAATATGCGAATAAATTAAATAATGCGATGCATATAACGATTAGTTAACAGAACAGCCACACCGGTTATCTTTCCGCACAGACTACTAAATGTACGATTAGACATTTAAATATAAGAATTGGTTCTAAATATCTCTAAATGGTCAGCTTTGGATCCATCTATATAACTTGCAATAATTTAAGTGTAAATAGACCATAATTTTCATGAAAATGTAAACAGTATTTTCTACATAGTTATAATGGTTTTCATACTTTTGATTTATATTTTTGATGTCAAATCAGATATAATCAATAAGTATGATGTTTAAGTGTCGGTTGATACATATTCCGTCCATTATTTTTATGTTTCAATAAAACGTTGAAATAAAAAACGAAATCTTTTATTACACCTATGTCTATAAAATGTCTTTAAACTAACCTCCTATTAATTAATTTACTATCCAAAACACAAATAAATCCCATTTCAGATATTCATATATCAGAAATACCGAAATTTCTTAGTGTCTTATTAATTCTTTAAAATTCAATAGTAATGTATATTTACTTTGGCGATTTCGTGTAACGGAACGAAATTTGATCAGCCAATCGCAGCTTTGCATGACTACCGTAGCCTTCTGATTGGTCCGCGCAATGTTTCTATCCTTTTTACCAGGAATTACGAATTATTTTACAAACAGTTTATTTAATATGTAATCGAAATTTATAGTAACAAATAAAGAGAATGTTTGGTTTAAAATAAACACAGAATAGTTTAATTAATTAATTATTTAATTTTATAAATATTGTTATATCAACTTTTTTACATTTATCAAGATTTCAAATCTTCAAAACCTCTGTTGGAAATTTTGTTGTTGCTGGTTGGCATTTTGTTGTTGTCCGTACATCATCTGTTGCTGTTGATGGAACTCTTGTTGGCCGCCACCTTGGTTGTTGTTGCCTTGGTTTGGACCTGAAAGTATTAATAAATATGTTATCTCTTGTAACTCTAAAATGTCAATCAAACTTATATATAGTTTCAATAGCTGTCAAACCGAGAGCAACTAATAACCTAATTAATAATAATATATTTAAGTTTTTAAAGCAACATACATATTTCTAACTAAAAATCCCTTGAACGTAGATTTAACGTAGTTATGTCTTCACTAAAAAAGGCAAAAGGAAGAGGGTACGTCGAATAAAGTAATAAGATGGGCATATGGTCTGCTGAAGAGATGGAGCAGGTTAGCCCAGGGTAGTGCAGAATGGCCTATACCAGGTAAGGCCTATGTCAGAGGACGACCTGATCATAAAAGTGATTTATTTATTATTTATTTAAGTCAAATGTGATGTATTTTGACAAAGAGGCCATAGTCACGCGCGTCTCGTATCCATAACGGTGCTGAACTTGACAGCTATTAAGTTAATATCAATTAATTATTGATTTATAAATCAGTGTAATTGCAGCGACACTCACTCATCCGTCTCTTTTCATCACAGTGTAAACATAATTTAAGAGAAAAGGACGAAAGAAGTACGTTTTTATGAATAAGGCGGAAATCCCATAAAAGCTTACCGGACATCCTCATTCTCTTCGCATTGTTTGCAGCGTGATCATGACTATTCGCTTGTACCTGGTTTTGTTGAGTCTGCGAAGAAAATATTTAGTATAACTCCTGTATAAAAATATAAAACTGTTGACCCCTCAGAGGTCAATAAATGTCTCAATATATATTGAATCAACTGGTCGTACTACACTTTCAAGAGATATTGTCTTAAATATCGTCAGTAGTCAGTAGACGATAAAAGTAAAGGCTGTATTGCCATAACATTGGCATGAAATGTGAGTAAATCAAAGAAAAATCGTCGTTGGGTAAACCATAGATGTCAATACGCGATAAATATACACATTTAAATTTATTGAAGGAAATATTTGCTGTCGTTAATTTCTTTTAAAATTCCTTCTCAATATGCGACAAGACACTCAAAATTGTTCCATGTGCCTCGTACGAACTCGAATTACCTGCATAATTCACCAATGTTTCGGGTTTTATCTAACTATGACACTAATTATGAGGAATTTGATATTTTCCACCTCACCAAGGAACATGTGAGAAAATATTTGAAGGGGCGGGAAGACTCGAATTTTGTTTAGGTTGTATTTGGTATTATTTTTTGTTTTAAATATTAAATTTCAGTTTTCTGTATATATTTTTTCTATTGATGCGCTTATTTGTTTCATTTTTTTGGAAAATAATAAATAAAACTTTCTGGAGTCAGCTACTACTTGCCCTATCACCCGAATTCAGCTTCTCAATTAAAGGAATACCCTGTGTATTAAAAATGACATGCGAATACAAAAATATATTCTAAATGAGCAGAGATATAAACCAATACTTTCTAAGCTCCATAATGAACTGATTTTAATGAAATTCGGTTCATTAAAATGAATGCTTACCATAAGTCTCATTGTCTGCTCATTCTGTCTTCTGTCCTATAAATGAAATAAAAAAAAATAAAAGCTCATCATTCCAACTTATATAAAGCATTTAAATTAAACATGCATTACGAAAATATAAAGGTAATTATTAAGTTTGAATCTATTACAAATTAATTTTAAAAAATGCATTAACATATTAAAATAAAAATAATTGCTTTGGGAGCGTTCAAGTATTACGTCACGCAATTTTTGGTTGTCCCCCCCATGTAACGCACCGTAACGTTTTTCTGTACCCAAGGATAGTAAAACGTTTCGTGACCACCCAGTGACTCTTTATACCTAAAAGTTACCATTATGTGGTGTAAATATAATAACAATAACGCGTAATTCAATCCCCGCCCCGCATCGTAACGTTTTACAAAAGGACCCCCCTCCCCTGAATTCGTCACGTAATACTTGAACGCTCCCTTTAAAGAAATTTCGAAAAATATATTGAGTTATAATATTTGACACAACCAAATAATAAATCTTACATTTGGTTGTTGTTGTTGATTCTGTCTGGCCTTTGAATCGCTTTTGTCGTCCTGATCGTCGTCCGTGAGGAATTCCCTCTTCGGATACGGTATCGGACATCCGGCGAATACATCCTGATATGTTTTTTATAAGTCTTTTAAATTTAAATAAATTACTGATATTTGTTTATATTCAGATCGCTCATGTCTGAGACTGCCACATCCAGTTGACAGATATTTTTTATTAATAAAAAAAAAAACGACTTCCATCCCTGAGGTCGTAGGTTCAAATCTCGACCGTGCACTAATCATTTACTTTCAATGTGCCTTAAACACTCCCTACGTATGGTGAAGGAAACCTAGCTAAGTTACCGGGTATAGACACAAAATCAATTTTTTTTTTAAATTATCATGAAATATACGGCTGAGCCCTCAAGAGTGGTAGTCCGACTGTTTTTAGTAATGTTAATAACGCCATCTTTACGTTATTATTAATTTGTCAAAAAATCGAGTTAAAATATTTTTTTTTTAATATTCAAGTGACGTGACACAAAACTACTAATACGGCAACGGAGACTGTTTCTGATACAAATATAATGTGTATTTGTGTAATTTAACACAAATCGTTCGACACCATCTTGCTTAGAGACTCGTTTTGGCGGGTCTTAATATTTTGAATGTACAATCTTGATTTTTTTTTAATTAACAGAATTATAAATAACAATGTCTATAATCTGAATTTTTTTATGAATCTTGTCAAATATAATATATCTACCAAGTTAAAATAAATATGTATAATATTTTTTAACAAAGATAGTCACATACCTGAGTTGGTAATGGATCCTCGGAGAAGTATGGATCTTGCATAGCTTGTTCCGACGTTATTCTCCTATTTGGATCCATTAATAAAAGCCTCTGTAGTAAGCTGAAGGCTTTGCTGTCAGGCTTTATTTTATGTCTGTCCATGTATTTGCTTAGTGAACAGTTTTGATAGCTGTAAAAAATATAACAGTTTATTAATTTGTGTATTAGTGGGCTTTTTAAAGGCGGTTTTGAAATAATACAAATTATATATAACCAATTAATTAAATTATTAATGTAATAAATTACAGTACACTCACAACTCCTTAATTTAGTTTAGAGTTTGTAAAAATTTAGCAGATTTTTTTTATATAATAGGGGGGCAAACAAGCTTGCGGGGCGTCCAAAAAGGGCAGTCATCGCAGCCCAAAGACACCCATTTTTAGTGGGTGCGTTGCCGGCCTTTGAGGGAGGAGTATACTGATTATATAATATTGCAAATATGGTGATGGTCAAAACAGAACTTAGTTTGAATGAACTGACAACCATTAGTAAAAATCCATTACTGACTTAGTCACATTTTTTTTTTTTTTTTTTTATAGAACGGGGGGCAAACGGGCAGGAGGCTCACCTGATGTTAAGTGATACCGCCGCCCATGGACACTCTCAATGCCAGAGGGCTCGCGAGTGCGTTGCCGGCCTTTTAAAAATTGGTACGCTCTTTTCTTGAAGGACCCTAAGTCGAATTGGTTCGGGAATACTTCAGTGGGCAGCTGGTTCCACATAGTGGTGGTGCGCGGCAAAAACTGCCTTGAGAAACGCTCAGTTGTGGAACGTCGGACGTCGAGGTGATACGGGTGGAATTTCGTATTCTGCCTCGACGTCCGATGATGAAACTCAGCTGCAGGTATTAATCCGAACAACTCCTCTGAACACTCTCCATGGTAAATGCGGTAGAAGATGCAGAGTGACCCCACATCTCTACGCAACGCCAAAGGATCAAGCCGCTCGGAGAGGGATTGGTCGTCAACGATTCGAACCGCTCTGCGTTGTATACGGTCAAGTGGAAGGAGCTGGTACTGGGGAGCCCCCGCCCAGAGGTGAGAGCAGTACTCCATGTGGGGCCGAATTTGCGCTTTATATAGTTGCATGCGGTGGCCCGGAGTGAAGTACCGTCTCGCCTTGCTGAGCACACCAAGCTTTTTGGAGGCTAATTTAGCCTTTCCCTCCAAGTGACCGCGAAACTGAACGTCGCTCGATATGTCAACGCCAAGTATTCCAATGCTGGCTGTGGCTTTAAGAAGAGTGTTTTCGAAAAGAGGAGTAGCGACAAAGGGTGTTTTTTTAGCGGAAAACGCGCAAACTTGTGTCTTCTTGGGGTTAAATTGGACTAGGTTTTGTCTGCCCCAATCTGAGACTCCACGAAGTAGAGTTTCAACTTCAGACACAAGTTTGTTCCGGTACTCATCAACAACTGCCCGAGAAATACCTGCCCGGCCAGTGTAAAAAGTATCCCCAGTACTGTCATCCGCATAGCAATGAATGTTGCTAAGTTTCAACATATCATTGATATGCAGAAGAAATAGGGTCGGGGATAGAACACAGCCTTGTGGGACCCCAGCGTTTACGGGTTTTAGGTCGGAACATGCTCCGTCGATGACGACCTTGATGCTCCGATCGGCCAGAAAGCTGGAGATCCAATTGCGTAATTTCTCGGGAAGCCCATAGGCTGGAAGCTTCGAGAGCAGTGCTCTGTGCCACACCCGATCGAAGGCTTTCGCTATGTCCAAACTAACCGCTAGCGCCTCCCCCTTGACTCAATTGCCTCTGCCCATCTATGTGTAAGGTATACAAGGAGGTCACCAGCCGAGCGACCACGACGGAAGCCGTACTGAGAATCGCTAATCAGCTGGTGGCCCTCTAGATACCTCAAGAGCTGGCTGTTAATAATGGTTTCCATTATTTTGGAGAACAAGGAGGTTATAGCTATTGGGCGATAGTTGGACGGATCAGAGCGATCGCCTTTTTTAGGGATCGGATGTATCAAAGCGGTCTTCCAGCACTTCGGGACAGTGCCGAGCGAGTACAGGTACCGGAAAAGGCGCGTTAAGACCGGAGCCAACTCAGGAGCACAAGTACGCAGCACAATTGGGGGGATACCATCCGGCCCGCTCGACTTATGAATGTCCAAGGAAGATAGTGCTTTGCGGACAGCACGTTGCCGGAATGTGATTTCCGGCATCGAAGAATCACACCGCGAAATGGTCGGTGGTGATCTCCCTCGGTCATCCAAAGTCGAGTTAGACGCGAAGAGACAGCCCAAAAGGTCAGCCTTCTCCTTCGCAGTGTGGGCCAGAGAGTCATCCTCCCTGTGCAGTGGCGGAATGGCGGGCTGACAAAAATTCCCTTGGACAGCTTTGGCGAGAGACCAGAAGGCTCGAGTCCCTGATGGGAGTAGGGCCAATCTCTCGCCAAATCTGGCAATGTGCTCTGACTTTGCCTTAGTGATTTCCCGTTTGAAGGACCTGGAGGCTGAGTTATATGCTTTTTTAAGTTCGCTGGTATTGGCATCACGAGATTTCGCCGCTTCCGCCCATGCCTTAAAGCATTCTCGCTTTCGACGCGAGGCCGCCTTGCAAGAACGTTTAAACCAGGGCTGAGACTTGCCACCGATCGGCACCGCAGAAAATGGAATAAAGAGTTCCATGCCCTGCAGAACCACTTCGGCGACAGAGGCGGCGACGGAATCTGGAGCTTCCGGCGAAAAGCACATAGGCCCCCAAGGGTAGGACGCAAAGAAAGACCGCATCCCGTCCCAATCTGCTGACTTATAGTGCCAAATACGGCGACAACCCATAAAGCGGGGCCGTGAAGGGCGCGTAGATGGCACAGTACTCCGGACCACACAATGATCTGATGAACCCAATGGCGGGTCAACAGAGACTTGATAGTTCTCCGGATGAGAAGTCAGCAGAAGGTCCAACAAAGAGGGTTTATGACCATCCACATCTGGTATTCGCGTAATCGCAGGGACCATTTGTGTCAGGTCGTAGGCTAAAGCAAAGTCGTGAAAGGATCTTCCCGCGTGATCGGTGGTTTCAGAGCCGAGCCAATCGGCATGGTGGGCGTTAAAATCGCCAAGTATCACGATTTCAGCGGTAGGAACCCTTTCGAGCAGGGAATCTGTAGCCATTTGGATGTGCTCAATGAGTCGGTCAGTTTCGGTATTTCCGCTATGGGACCTATACAGGCATGCGTAGAATCGCGGATGGTCATCGCAGTCTACGCGCAGCCAGAGGTTAGATAGGTCCCTTCCTTCAAGCGTCCCGAGGCGACGAGAACAGATATCCTCTCTGACGTACACGCAAACTCCAGCCCGCGGCACAAATGAATGTTCCAATTTGTACCCCGGGTAGGATAGGTGGGAAGTATCAGCCGGGGAGGATATCTGAGTCTCGGTAAGAAAGAGCAAGGCCGGCTTCGCAGTCTCTAGATGATAGTGGACAGCGTTGATGTTAGAATTAAGCCCCCTAACATTTGTGAAGTCCACGGCGAGTGTGGACGGGGGTGCCTTTGTATAATTGCTCCGTTTGCCCCGAGGACGATTACTATTTTTGTAGAGCGCAGAATTGCCCCCCCAGAATACGAAGGGCAGCCTGTGCGTCCACCACCGGGTGCTGAGTGTCCCGGTGGTGGACGCCCAGAGGGGGGATTCTCCACCGCGAGCGCGTGTGGTACCCCCTGGGGTAGATTCTGTTTTTTCTGCACCTTCATATTTCTTGTGGGGGGGGGGATGGGCTCCGGGAATCTCTCTCACCGCACGAAACGCGAGTACAAGAAGGCGAACCTTTTGCATCACTTCACGCCGGTTTTCTGAGAGACAGTGGTACTGCCCCGGTCGTGCCTGCCCATTTGGCTGAAGCCCGAAGGCAACAGCATGGCACTCCCACTAGGAAGGGGTTGACTGATTGCGCTGATGAAATAACCTCTGTCACAGGTTATTTCACCAGTGGGCGATGGGGTCGTCACGTCCCGACGCCTAAAAAAAACATCATGGTATGTTACTCTAACTTTGCATTCCTGTTTCCAGATGGCTTTAATATGATAACAATTCCATTTTACTCGTACACCAAGTATACAGAATGTATGCAACATTCTGTTTACTTCGTGTGAGTCTAGTTGGCTATTATAACTAAAAGCACTCGGAACATACAATTGTACAAATAATGTAATTTATGTCATAGCTGTAGCAGAAGACACTAACGTCTAAAAATCTTACAAAAAAGGTGTAAGGTGTTAAGATGTGTAGATTGCACAACCCCGACATTAAGTTCTTTAAAAAAAAATATAGTTATGACTATTTCAAACATTAATTATTACTCACTTAGACCGTTTGAAATCCTTAACTAAAGTGGCATGTTCAGGCATTTTTCTGATATCTTCCCAGTCTTTCTCTAAAGGAAAGCCCATGACATTGAATATCCTATCCAGTTGATCATGATGGTATGGGTTGCTTGTCTTTATGTCTTCTTGACGGCAATGGAATATTGGTTCGGATGTCAATAATTCTGCAAATATACAGCCAATTGCCCATATATCTGAAAAATAGATACATATCTTAAAGAATGAATTCAGTAGTAACAATAATAACAATTTGTTCAATATGTCTAGGCAGGGTTACCGGAAGCACTAATTCAATTGTGATGTGCTTCTGTGTAGATAAAACATGTTGACTCTAGCTTGTTTTGGAAAATCATGGTGCTTAGGAATTAGGAATAAACATAAGAATTTACAATTTCAACCCAGATAAATTAATTATTGGAGCAAAAAAATACAGAGACCAAACATAAACATTCCTTAAATTGTCACATGCAAAATACTTGGGCATTCACTTGGATTGAAGACTAACATGGAAAAAACACAAGCGGATACACTCGTATCTGACAAAGTAGTGGCTTATTGTTGTGTTCAACAGATTGCAGCGGAGCAGAAAGAAAGAAAAAAAAATTGTCACAGAGTAAATTGATTTCACATTTCAGACTAGAAAAGCTATTTAAACACTGAACACTTTACAGACACATGTTAGTAAGTATCTGTCTTAAATCAAATTACCTATAGCCTTTGTATAATGCCGAGCACCTAAAAGCAGTTCTGGGGCTCTGTACCAGAATGTTACCACTACTGGATCCAGATCAGCAAGTGGTTTAAGTGGTGCATTAAACAACCTTGCAAATCCCATGTCTGCTATCTTCACTCTACCTCTTTCTGGGCCTTCACCCATCACTAATATATTAGCTGGTTTCTGGAAATATAATTTTAACACCTTATAACAGTAAATATTTATATAACTTATGTTATGTGATGTTTCTTTTCATGAAATATCTCTATTAATCTTTTTTTAAATAATAACTAAAAGCTATAGACTGGTCTTAAAAAAATATGTTCAAATTAAATTTAAAAACTAATTTTAGTTTAGTTATGTATATTGTGTGTAGTCACTTAACTAAGGTTACACTAACAAAACTTTAAATATTTTAAAACTGTTGTAGTATATGCAATAATATAAGTTTTTAGATGAAAATTGTTCGATGTCCTGGTATATGTTCCTTTATGTTTCAACCACACTAGTGTAAACTTCTTTCTTTGGTATGTACTAATACTATAATAAATGAAAATAAATAAATGTATTGTTAAACATTAAATCAGTTTTTTCTATTAGACTTACCAGATCTCTATGTAAAACCCAATTGGAATGTAAATAATGTATGCCATCTAAAATCTGATATAATAAACTCTTAACCATGCCCTTGGGTACCATAACAGACTTCTTATTAGCCTTTGCTGCTCTATGGAACTTGATTATATGCCAAAGGTCATGTTCAGCATAGTCAAATAACAGCCAAACTTTTCTATCAGTATGTGATAGGAATACTCTGATTAAGTTAATAACATTTGGGTGTTTCAACTCTCGTAACAACTGAAAATTTTAAATTCACATTCTTAATAACTGTTTCAATTGAAAGAATATAAAATCCTAGATTTATACAAAAAAAATATTTAAAACATTGTGCATACTTGAAAGACTGATTTGTAATCACTATCTAACTGAATGAAATGTCATAGTAATGATTTAGGCTGGCTTTTTATTCTGGCAATCAACCTGCATATAAGTTTTTAGAATAAAGTCACTCTTTGTCTTGTAGAAAATCTATGTTGTTGTAAGAGGCCTACGTACTTACTGCGATTTCTCGACAGGCTGACATGGAGAGCCCTGTACCTTCAATTTGTTTTAGGGCATAATCTTTAGTGTCTGATCCATCTTTCCGCCGGCCTTTATATACATGACCGTAGGTACCACGGCCTACCTTACAACCTTCGAAGTCAAACAAATCTTCTACTTTGGAACGTTCATTCTGTGTTTTTATTTTAAACTCATAGTCCATCATAACTGGTGCCATAGTTTTATTTTGAAAGTTATCTCCCATGTTGCGGCTTCTATCACTATTCACTAGACTAATAGTTTATAATACACTTGTATAACTTCCAGTTATTTTAGTCGAATCTAGTATACATACTTTAACATGGGATACAATTTGTTTTCCTCTCTTAATTAAGCTAGACTATCGAGCTAGATAAATATTTCTGCCCATTGTTTCTATTTCGCCACACTAGCTCGGCAGTTGCGACTTGTAAGTTGTAACTTGTAAGTTAGGAGTTAGGAGTTAGGACTTGGGCTTGAGGCTTGGGCTTGAGGCTTCGTTAATAGTTTGCAGTTGAGCACAGATTTAGTAGCATTAAAGTGTTAAGGGAGTTGACAAATTACAGTATAAAAAGGTTGGTTTCTAATAATTGGTCTGTTGTCAGTGAGACGCTGTCATCAATTATCCTTGCACAACTCAAAGCTGTCAACTCTACTAAATCTGTGCTAGTATATTAGGAATCTGTAGCTTGAGCTTTCAGTTCAGAGTTCAGACTTCAGAATAATTTTCTTTTCAGTTTTGACTTTTATTTTCCGAGTTTGCGTCGTAAATTTAAAGTTCCTCAAAAATTACGTACAAATTGCTCAAGCTTTTGGTGAAATACTACTCTGACCTACTAAGTCATCTGCATTAACCAAAAAAAACAACTTAGGAAAGGGTCCGAAATAGTCTAACAATGGCTTACTTGTTTCCGAATTTATGTCGTTGCATTTGTTTAAGAAATCGCAGCGGCATTCATATTGCCCAAACTGCGTCATATCATGCAAATGTAAGTATTCGATATCCAATGTCAAGGTTATTGATTAGTCTACCGGACGATAAAAATTGTTTTGTTTAGGTTATAGATCATTACGAAAACCCTAGAAATGTTGGTTCATTGGACAAAAAGGACAAGAATGTTGGAACAGGGTTGGTAGGAGCTCCAGCTTGTGGTGATGTCATGAAGTTACAAATCAGAGTTGATGACGATGGCAAAATTATTGATGCGAAATTCAAGACATTTGGATGTGGCTCAGCAATTGCATCAAGCTCACTTGCAACAGAATGGGTCAAGGGAAAGACAGTTGATGAAGCATTAAAACTGAAGAATACAGATATAGCTAAGGAACTGTCCTTGCCGCCTGTCAAGTTACACTGTTCTAGTAAGTAAATGTATTGTAATGTGTATGTTTTTCAATTTTTTTTTAAATAAAAACCAAATTAAAAATTATGCAACATTGCTTAAAATGTATCTCTTATAACTACATAGTTAAAAGTAAATAATTACTCAAGGTCCCCATTAATAAGAGATTAAATTCAAACATAAAACAACCAGAACCTACATATTAAGTTTCAAGAACCAGCACAACCAACATAATATATATTTACATTAAAATATATCGAGTTATAATTATTATTTGAAATTTTATGTTTAGTGCTTGCTGAGGATGCCATCAAAGCGGCTCTCTCAGACTACAGAATCAAACAAGAGCACAATGAAAAGAAGTAAATAAGCCTTAGAGGAACTTATGAGGAACAGATCTGTGATTGTATTAAGGATGTTGGATAAAATTAAAAATTTATTAAATAGAACTTAGGAATTTTATGTTATCTTATGTAAACACTGCTATAGTCAATAGCTATTATCTTGTGGCAGTATAATAGTTGTTATTTTCGAATAAATAGATGATGTGACCTATATTTATTAATTATTTGAGACCTCCAATTACTATAATGGCTTAATATCAACAATCACATTGTATCCATATCATTCTGGTAAAGAAATAATGTACATAAACAAAATTACTGGAAATGGTAAGTTATTTCACCTGTGGTTAGGACCCATGCATATTGTTAAGGAGTGCTAGGAATGTGAGCATTATTTTGATACAGAGTTGCTCTAAAACTATATATATTATATCAAAAGATATACATATATTGAAATTAATGTAAAAGTCAATTTTGTACTGCTACTGCTTACAGAATTAAATACACTTGCTCACAATTAGCATATCATACTAATATTATAAAAGTGAAAGTTTGTTACTCTTTCATGTAAAAGGTACTGAATTAATTTTAATGAAACTTTACAATAATATAGCTTATACATCAGATTAACACAGGCTACATTTTACAAAGAAATTGTGTAAATTGTCCAAAATATCAAGTAAAACGAAAAATCTACCATCTGCAAGCTATTCTGGTGTGCACTGCTAAAACCACTTGAGTTACACACATGTAATGTATGGCGGAAATGTTTATCTTAAATAGTCATACAAAAAAGCCCACCACAGTTTTATCTATATCTTATGTGTAAGCCATTATAGCCATAACTACTATAAAAATTGATAATGTATTTCAAATGCACATTTGGTAGTAAAAATTGATTCCTAAATGAAAATAGATATTTTTATTGCTTCTGGTATTTAAAGTAGATAAAATGTCTTTCATGCTACACCATTTGGACAAATATTATTTTAATCCTGCGCAGAGGAAGTCGCAGGCACCAGCTAGTTATACCATAGATGAATAGCAGAAACAAGAATTTAGATTATTTACCTTACCTTCACAAATTCATCAACTTTGACGATGACTTTGATGATAACTAAACACCCTATATACTTGGACAAATGGGTGACGTTAAAATATTTATTCAAATCAGTAGTTTCTGAGATTAACCTGTTCAAACAAACTCTTTAGCTTTATAACAATAGAATAGATTGATAATTTTGTGATTTGGGTATGGGGTTTTTAGTTTTTTTGACCAGCTTTCTTTACCTATTAACCCATAATAATTGTTTGAGCTGAAGTGGGTTAATGCTACTGCTCAGTAGCAAATATTTAAATAGACTACTCTCCCATTTGTCAATTGGTGGTTGGATTAATATATTGGCATTAGTGTGCTAAATATAGGACAATTGGTAGTATTAAAACAACAAGATTTATTGTATAGTATTTATTGCTGTATTAATTTTATTAAAATCAAACACTCAGTACAATATACAAATACCATTCTGGAAAATTAATTTTTATTTAAGATTTATAAATTACATGGCAATTCATTGTGAATATAGAAAATTACAAAAAATTATTAATTTTATTTTGTATGGAGTTTTTTATTTCATATTGCGAAACGTGTAAAAAAAAGTATTTTCTATAGAAAATAGAATGCTTTACATAAAACAAAAACATACACTAGATCAGTCAAATAACACTATTTTTTTAGTCAATCATCCCTTTTTCTAAAATTGTGATTACAATGTAAGGAAAAGGGAAAGAACTATGTTTTCATAAAAAATAGATAATTAAACTGATAGTTTTTATGAAAAAGGGCCACCCGCTATTAGAGCCTTTTAGATTTCATGGGACGTAACTTTTTTCACGTATCAACAACTTTTTAATAAACTTCGGGGCCCACCATGACTGTCAATATCTGCCAAGTGCATCCCGCTGACCTGCAACTGGCCATCTGCTAACCGGTTATGTTGTCTCTGGCCTAGAATGGATGTCATACGATATTACCGTTGATATATTAAAACAAATAATTATTTTTGAAGTTATACTTCTTTAGGCGCGTTATGAAAAATTGATGAGAGTGAAATTTTACGATGCGCACGCACCGTGACGCAAAATTAACAGAATGATGTTGCCCAAGGAAGATGCTACGGCATTGGACATAATTTAAAAACAACATTCGAATTATAATAGAATTTATGTTACACTTAATGTAAGAGAATAATAATAAATATTTATTTATTTAATTTTTCATATGTAAACTGAACTTTATTACTATAATGACTCCTTTTCCAGTCTTTGATTATTTAATTTTAATAAATTATTTGCATGCAATCAAAAACTATTTTTAATAATTCCGAAGAAGTATAACTTCTTACGCGCGTACTTAAGTACAGGCACCCTTTTTTAATAGGACACGCCCAGAACGAGGTTTTATTAGTCTTCGTTGAGTCACGTGACCATTATATGATAGCTTAATTATAAACTTATGGACCGGCGCTAAGACGTCATGGTAGGCCCTATGTGGCGTGAAGAGATGAAAGATTTTGGCAAGAAATAAAAAGTAAATATTGCCTAAAAATCATGTGACCCGCCCAATTAATTATGAAATTACGATAAGTTAGTTGGCACATGTTCTGGCCAAAACCTAAATGGCTAAATGGGCTAGGTTAAGTGTCTAAAGCCTAAAAGAGTGTCTAAAATAAAATCTCAAATCGGCAACAATTTTAGCATTGTACTCTTGGACTATATTGTAACCTGAAAGACTCCTAAGGTAAACAAAGGTCCCTTACGTCAAACGGGAGTAATTTCACACTATGTCTAGACTCTATTGTCATAGAGTCAGTTTGTTTATTGCTTTTGATTCAGTTGAGATATACCTAGCCTAGAAAAAACTCTCTTAATAATTTTCATAAACGGCCCATACACAAATGTCACTTTTAATTGACACAAGCGGTGCTTAATATATAAGAATTACTGTTGCACTAAATTGTACTAAATAGGTTTTTCACCGCTACAAATTTCATCGAAATCAGTCCAGTAAGATTACACATAAAAATTATATATTGTTACGTAACGATACCAAGTTTCTGTAAAGCTAGTTGAGCCGCATCGGCTTTCGCTTGTTTCTTATTCGCACTCGCAATAGCTGGTTGATATTCCACCCCAGCCACTTTTACCTGCAAAAACATTTTTTTTTATCGCGGCCTATTTTAGTGAGTATACTCTTTCTTGAATCAATTGGAGGTCGTACGGATACCGGCAAAAATCTTGAACATTAAACAAGGGAGTAGGGGAAAGTTTACGCAGCGCGGGACATAAACGTCAACTAATTTACCAATCACGCGATTGACACGTCACTCTCCCGCCGCCCCCCCTCCCAGTGATACTTAAAAATCGCTACTGCGCAGGCAAGTACATTTGTTCAAGATATTTGCCGGTATCTGTATCTGCCAGGAAAGACCCACCGGGAGTCGATTCATTATACAAATATGTTAATTGTGAGATTGTGAATGGTAAACAGGATCTCTCGCCCAATACACGTTGACACGCGACACACTCACAACTTGGTGTGAAGTTTTGTAACATTTTTGTTTGTTGCTTGTTTTGCATTATGAATTGGTTGAAAGTTGAAGGAATAGTATCTAAAGAAAAAACTTTTTTACCGGATTGAAGTTATGTATTATTATAAATTTACAATTATTTTACATAATAGCATCTTAGTATATCGGAATAGTATCTTCAAAATGCAACAATTTGAAGTCCGGGCTTCCCTCCTCTATAATTTGAAGCGTTTAGGCATTAAACATTTTTGGACTGACTGATGTCGCTTACTCAAAAAAAGGTTACGGACTTTTTTCGACATCAAAATTTGTGAATTATTGTAATGCAAAGAACATCATTATGTAAATATAAATATCATTGAATGAATAAAGAAGAAAATCAAACTCACCCTAAAAAGGAAGTTTTTCTTATGATCCGGACCACATTCGAAACAGAGGTTGTATTCTGGAGGCCCCAACTTGTGCTTAGAACAATATTCCCCGAGCAAAGAGACCGGGTGCTTTCCACCCGCTATCAGTGGCGCTGGGCCTCGTCTGCCCATCCTACTTTGTTTCATCTGAAATAAAAATAGGAATAGTTTATCTTTCTTTGATTTCCTATTCTTCACCAAGAAGTCTTTGGTAAAGTTTTATTGTTGAAATTTTGTATGTTTTTTAGTTTTGAAGAAGTCAATAAATGTCCCAACTTCACAGTTATTTAAGGAACTTTGAACCCAATATTTTTTTTATTTTAAATATTTAAAGATCCTATATGGTATTCTTTATAAAAATATAGAATGTCGTCAAAACACTACTAACCAGTAAATAAACATACTATATATTTCTTCCAATATTTCAAATCAAAACTAAATTAATGTAATTTAATTTATTTTTCACTTATGAACGTCAATACTAAAAAAATTGAAGGTCTCAGTTTACTACTAGTTTTCAAATCAAGGGCTTAGAACAGGAAAGCTGTCATGAAACTCTTCTCCACTCTTTTAAATTGCCAAGTTTTTGGTTTCCAAAGAAATTGTAAAGAACTGCGCTCGTACTCCATAACATCCACAACACCGATCACTGTCAGTATCGCTATTACATAGGAACGACACTGTACGAGCCAAGGCATTTTGCTCACTCAGGCTTTCTTAGTTTTACAAGCGTGGCGATTTCTTAAATAGTCGGAGTTACTCCCCAAAAGTAAAGCCAGACGCAGGCACTCTCTTCAACTTTTACTTTGCATTCATTCGTTTCACAGCAATTAACTAAATCATGGGAGTTACGCCCCGAGAGCATAGCCCGACGTAGTAAGCACCCCGATTACCCAGGAACCGTACAGACACCACGCTTATCGTTCACACTTGACTTGTAAAATTAAAACAATCATATAAAATAATCTTAGCATCTGCACGCAAATATTAGGACGTACTTACATAATAGTGAGATCAAAACACAACACAAATTTGACAAAAATCACAGACATCACTAGAATTACCAACTCAAAGCCAAAAAAATGCAAAAATTTGACTTACTCCTTTATAATATCGGCTACTGACCTCTTCCTTAGCCTGTAAACCTCTTGTATCCAACTTGACCTCAAGTAAAAGAGGCTGCAACGTCCCAGATTCCTCCTTACCCAGGCCTTTGCCGGGAGTCCAACCCATCTTCTGGAGAAGGTGCATCCCCATACCCCCCTCGACCGGGGCAGCTCGAACGAGTTGGTCCTGAATAATTGACTCATTAATTTCCATGTCATTTGTAAAATTTTAGACAAAATTTCAATGATTTGCTTTCAATTTTCAGACATATTACAATTATAAATATTACGCGAAATGTAAACATAAATTTATATAAATCCATTAAGATTATAATTTAATATAGATCTGAAAACTGAAGCAAGTAGCCAATATTTTTGGGAATAATTAAAAATATATTGCAATTGATCTCCTTCTGAATACTTACCTACCGCAACAACAAAGACGACGTCGACGTCTAAGGCAGTGCTCGCTCCTTATCTTTTAAAAGCTGCAACAAATATTCATGAATTCCCCATAAAGGTGGACTCAGACCAAACAAATAAAATTGGTCCGAATCGACCTTAAGCCGAAAAATTCTTGAATCACTTGGCCAACATTCTGAGACGCTATTGTTAGGAATAGCAAAGAAACTACTCAGGGTGTCTCTTGTTTTTTTTTAAGTTTAAGATTAACCCCCTTTAAAAACTAAACCAGTAAACCGTCGTTTTTTAAGTCGGTTTAAAAGATGCATTCAGAACACAATGCTTTTAATAATTCTGGCATTAATTTCGGATTCCAATTAACAAAACTGACAATATCTTCATTGGAAAAAACGGTATTTTTATAATGGCACGAATAACAATACCTCTCTGAACATTGGCCTTATAGATAAAAGAAAAATGAAGCTATCAAGAAAAGAAAAAAATACCAATATTGGGGAAAACAGAATATTTGTTTGCGATGTGATATCTAATATGCCAATTGGCATAAGAGTTACCACATTGCCTAAATGTAACGATTGAACTAATAGTTCGTACGTTACACGAGACATCGTGTTTTGGTTACAAGAACATTAAAATTTCAAAGGCTTAGTATAAAGGATTTGAGTAATGGCGCGTCTAAACGGGCCATGTTTTGCTGCAATTGATGGCTGCAACACTGTGGCCGGCAACATTGCAAACAATAGCAGCCACACTATGCAATATTGCAGTAATGTCCCGGCCATATAGCCAAACATGTTTTGTATAGCCACATATGGCCGATGTTGCCCCGATGGGTGGCCGGACGATCGCTAGGCTATCGAATTCAACTGCAATATTGCACAGCCAGTTCTCTTGTTGTTTCAGTCACTCTCTTTGTTATGGCATAGTGTATCCTTTTCTACGCGACATGACGTTTGCTTTGAGTGAAGTGTGCGTGTTGCTTTATTCTGTGTTTTGCGATAAGCTGTATTTGACGTTAGATTACTACGTAAAAATGACTACTTTTGACATTCTAGTTCTTGAATAATTTATTATCAAGACTTATTTCTAGACTCAAATTGTCTACAGTTTCACGCCTATTTAAGTAAGGTCGAATCCACAATCTCTTCTTTTTCTGTTTCTTTTTTAAAACAATATAAGCTGCTGCGACAAGTGTGATTTCGTCAGCCATTGTTGTAGGTTTGTGTAGCCCGTTTAGGAGTCTGCATCATGGGCCATACTATTGCAGACATATTGCAACACATTGCCCAGCCATAGATTGTTCGGCCATCAGCTGCATTAAAATATTTTTGTAATGGCCGGCAATTAGTGGCCAACAGTGCAGCCATCAATTGCAGCAAAACATGGCCCGTTTAGACGCTCCATAAGGCTATTTAATCATATCTAAAATTTGTTTAATACATTTTGTTGAACCGTTAACAAACGATCAATGACAACGTAAAACTCTTTTATTAATAGGATTTAGAAAAATTAAACCAATCTCAAATATCTGTAGATAATATACCTAGGTATTATATATGCGTAAAAACAGAACCGATTTTGATAAAACTTGGACCTAATTATACTTGCTTTAAATCAAAGAACTCAGTATGACTTAGTTTTGCACTTGCTTGGGAACCTAAATAGATCATCATAACTTCTTTATTTTTGAGGACCCTTAAACTTTGTGAACTAATTCTGTTCCATACGGCTTGGAGAAATTTAAATTTCCATAGAGATGATTCTATAAAACAAGCTGTATGCATAAACAATTTTATTGCTATATGGTTTATTTTATCATTTTAATCAGATAGTTACCGCTTATCAAATACGTGATGCTCATTCATTTCGATATTATGATACATCAATCTACATGCAATTGCTATCACGATTGAATAGATTAAAATTTAAATACAGTATTTATTCATTATACATGCATAATATGCATTTATTAGTCATTTTTTCATCTGTATTGAATTGAAATTTGCTTTAGCGGAACATATATTGCATATTTGAAAAGAAAAATTAACAATTTATTTGGTTAATATCATATGTGTCAAAAGTTTCAAATTATTTCACATATCTCTCATTATGATCTCGAAGTTCATATTTCCTACGTATGAAATCAATTTTCACGTATATATCAACGTGTCTGTATACGTAACTAACGTACACGTTCAAGAACTGAACAAAATATTCCTCATATACAGTTGTAATTTTATTGATAGTATTCCTATCTATATTTCCAGAACTGCCGAAATGATTTTAATATCTCATAATTTTTACAAGATTTAAGGTTTCTGTTTAAGATAATTTGTATGTAATTGTAACCAAGACACATAAACAAAGGGTCGGGCGATATAATAGCTGGTATTATAATCCCCGACCACGAGGCCCGCCAAGACGCCAGCTGAAAGAAAAGTCGGTGAGGTAGCATGCGTTTAAGGGAACCATAACCCAAGATATCTTTTACTATACTAATTGGTAGGTATAAAAAACCTTAAGGAATAATTGTAGCGAAGAGGTGTTGACTAAGGGGTCCTTATGTGCTTTTTTTAATTAAGGTAAAAAGTGATTTGTATATAATATATAATTATATATATCTACTGTCTGAAATTTTATCGGAAAAACTAGCAAGGAAGGTTTTAAATTGTGTTTAACATAGTGATATTTTAAATAAATTAGATGTAAAACAATCAAAGATTAGATCTTAGGTTGACGGGTTCTGGTTTTCTTAAACTGCATACTTTGATTTATCACAAGATACGTCTAAACAGACATATTTTGTGGTAGAAAAATCACCCAGGTTTTGCAGAAAAAAAATACTTGTACCATGCAAGTTTCATCAAATCATCTGTTTACTGTGTAGTGTATGTCTAACTACGATTCAACCTTTATCTGTCATTTGTCACTGACAAATTACTTTCGGATAAAAATTCTCGTATCAGTTTTTAACTATACATGTGGAACACTTTTCCATGTTAGATTCCGAGCCACCAAAAAAGTCATAGAAGCGTGAAAAATGAACTAACTTTGACAAGTCGGCTATGTTGGGGGTTCCCCTTTCCCCAAATTTAGGGGGAATCAAGATGTGCAGGGTTTTTTTAAGGAGGTGGATTTAACTATGGGTAATCCTTACTTTTTATGAATTATTGTACTTTTCTTACGATTATTGATTTATATATTATTTTTTATCAACCTAGCTCTACTCAAGAACACTAATTTTAATTTTGTGTAATGCTTTGATTAATTGAAAATAAATGATTGGTAGGTAATTTAAGTGAAATGTGTTCAACATTTTGTTATACCCTGACAGCCGCGTCTACGGGACTTCTTTTGTGGCACGGACTCTAACAGTATAAATAAATTTATGACACTAACAAAGTGTCAACTGTCATCTGTCAAACATAAACCATCATATACATCATATTACAAAAATGTATATAAATTATATATTATATTTTTTTTGCACCTTGGAACGGTAATTTGGTTAAATTGCTCTCATTGTCATCACAAAAATAATTTTCAAATCTAATTAAAATTTAGGAAGTTTTTTATTGTATTCATTAACTTCATTCTATAGTCTATGCATATTTGTTTATCTATAGTAATCTATCCTTTTTAAAGTTATGACTTTTAACCCGATCTTTTATAATTGAAAAACACTTAATGATTTCGAAAAAGCCATTAAATTGTTTCGAATATATTGTGTATTGTGCAAGTAAAACATATGTTTAATTTGTGTCTGTTACCTTCTTAGCCCAAGCCTGACTCCCCGAAGCGAGTTCTCTCGGCGTGAGTATGTTTGCTCCTGTCGACCCCGTAAACTGACCGAGAGAATTCGTTGACGGCAGAGAACTAGCTGACCAACCGAACTGGAAGTTAAAAACGACATTCAGAAAGAGTTCTGGTAAGCTGTAGATCAGCCTGTGTCACGTCAAATTTTGGGTATAAGATGTCCCGGTTTCCTTCACCATACCTATTCCAGGCACTTTCGCGGACAAGGGTTTCATTTCCATTCGGATATTAAACAAAGCTAGTTCAATAATGCAAAAGAAGTTTTAAAAAATATTTCAGCGGGTTTCTGGAATTTTCTTTTCCGTTAAACAAGTTGAAGTTTTATTCTATTTATTATACACCGTTACACACAATTTACTCACACTTCTAACTCTAATATTATTATTATTATTTTTCTACTTGGTATTATAATTATTTATTTTATTTTATCAGAGGCGCAAACTAGCTGCTATGGTCTCTGGCAGAATGACCAGCGCTGTGGAACTTTTTGCTCCTCAGCATAATGCTGAGCCAGGGCCAATTACAACCACAGTACACACACATTGCACACTGGAAGCGAACCGAATGGCAAAAGGGAATTTTTATTTTTTATTTTTATTGTTTTTGATGCCTTATTTTCTTTTTTTCTTTAAGTATTGTTATTTTGTGTGTTTATGTGTGTGTTTTTTGTTTGTAATAAATGTTATGTCTATGTCTAAGTATAAATATATGACGTAACGGCTTTTTGACATATAAAAAATAATATAGTTAAAATTTGTAATAGTTTAAAACAAATATCGCTTTTTATTTTTTACTTTTAATACATAATTTTTGTGTGTGAGACATGTCAATCGCTATATAAAATATACTTACACCACTAGTTGTAGTCAATTCAATTTCTTCTTGTTCCTTGCGCAGCAAAGAGAGCTTTTGAGTAACGATAGCGGCCATGTCCTAATAGAGAATTATTAAATATTAATTATTATTAAATAGAATTTATTCAATTTCTCTAACAAACAACAACATTTCTGCTTGGCAAACTATGTTTTACCATATTAAGATAATTGAATAATATCTGGGAAAAAGATGGCTAGCGGTTGCAAAAAAAAGAAAATTGTGGAATCATATAAAAATAAATACAACGTTTTATTAATGTCGTGCCGTGGTATGTGATTTTTTATTGTATGAAATAAAGGTATATTATTATAATATTTATTAACAAAAAAGCTTGAAAATTTAGAGTTATATGTATTTTTTATTGCAAAAATTAAAAAATGTCCAAATCAAAATTTTCCGAAAATTAAAAAATATTCCCATTCTGAGTAGTATAGGGATTTTTCCATTGAGACACACATATTACTCAATTGACAAAATAAACATAGGATAAATAAACAGAGTGTTTTTATGGTTTGGTATTAAAAAATACATCTTTATATATATACTACTGTCTGTATGTCACTGAACTCCTCTTAAACGGCTGGACCGATTTGAATGTATTTTTTGTATGCGTTTGGGTGGCGCCCTGGATTTTTAGCTCTTGGCGCGCAACCAAACGATCTGGGTTCGATTTCCAGTCTGAGCTGTCCGAATTATTTTTCATTTGCCAAAATATATATATTTGTTACAAACCTCCATTTTTCAATAGCGATATTATTTTTATATGTTAAAACATAGTTTGCCCGGTTAGCTAGTTCATACTTTTCTTATTCTCCCGTTATTGTTTCCTAATACTTTTTTTATTTATTTATTGAAACTTCAACATAAATAAAAACCAGTAACATAATTTTTTTGTGAAACTACAGGCGGCCTTATCGCAAACAAGCGATATCTTCCAGGCAACCAGTAAGTAGAAAGAAATACTAGGGATGAGTACAGAACTAAATTAGTTTGACCCATACTTCGCATTGATATACAAAATATAAGTAAAAAATGTATAATAAATAAAACACTGACCACAGCTGGATGATCTGCGGGCATTACTTGAGGTCCGGGAGGCATCAAAGCCGGAACTGAGGTCAAATCTGTAAAACAATATTTCCGACAATTTATTTTTTATCAATGGATTTTTAATAATTTTTGGTGATTCGCTTATAGTACCCAAAACGTTATTTACAATAAAATCTCGTATAAATCTATAAAAATGTCCCGGAGATTATTATTATTACAGTTGAAACTAAAATTGTCTCTTTCTATCGCATCCTGTTTACGCTGTGAGGGAAAGAGAAAGCATGACTAGCAAAATATTATATCCTTATTATATATGCGTCCTATATTTATTTGATTTTTTTTTGTATTAAACTTAATTATAAGAATCAATTAGACCAACTTACAGTCCAAGCATCATCGAAAATGATTCAGTAGTTTTTGAGTATTCACGCTTTGTATGTGACATGCGTCTCCAATTGTTGTAATTTTCCAAATTACTTTTATGTATGAACAAATTATCAAAAGTATTTACAGTTTATTAATTTAAAAAAAAATCAATGGCGCTACAACCTCTTTAGGTCTGGGCCTCAGATTTCTGAATCTATTTCATAATCATTTTTAAATCTAATAGGCAAGTAGGTGATCAGCCTTCAGTGCCTGACACATGCCGTCGACTTTTTGGGTTTAGGACATGTCATTTTCCTTCACCGTTCGAGCAAATGTTAAATGCGCACATAGAAAGAAAGTCCAAGTGCACAGCCGGTGGATCGAACCTACGACCTCAGGGATGAGAGTCGCACGCTGAAGCCACTAGGCCAACACCACAATAAAAAATTCCAATACTTACGACTTCCCGTAGTAAAACTCTTCATATAGGCCGGAGGCGTCGTCGATGGAGCCGGTAATGCCAGGGGTTCGTCTTTTCTAAGAACAATATACCATTTTAATTATGCGAAAATAGAAGCTAATAATATGTAAAATATGTAATAAAAATAATATGTAAATAAAATAGAATAAATGTAAGGACCTAATATTTTAACGAACATTGACGAAATGATCATTTTTTTGATTTGATGATATTGGTTCATGTTCAGAGGAAAGTAGTAGCTAAGTAGGACTCTCCTGTATGTCAAAAATATGTAGGATTTCTAAACTCATAGGTCATAATAATCTGTTAATTATATGTCAGCAATGTCAGAATTGACAGCCCAAATACACATTATACTATTGGTAAACTAACAATAAATAAACGTTATTAAATATACCATTTATGGGGAATATTAATGGCAAGCCAATTTTGGTATTAACCAATTAACAAAATTCCACATCGGACTCATAATCTTTTCCTTTGGTTCTGTTTGAAGTCGGTGATTAATAAAAATAGTTAATTAAAAATGGTTCTATAGAAAGAGTACTTGTGATAACACAAAGTGGGAGTACTTTATTTATAAATATTTCTTAGAAGTTTACATGTTTTATTTATTGTCTGTTGAAGTTTTTTGAAGTACGAAGTTATCATTCTATAGTGACGATATTATATAAAAAAAATATAAAAGTACTCACTTATTGTTAATAGGATCGAAACCCAATTGAAGTTTTTCCGGTTTAGAATTCAGCTTCGCAATTTGCTGAAAAATATTACATATTATTATTTTTAGTAATATGTACAAATATATACATATATAGAAACTGATACTATGTCATCACATTTATATTTAATTTGCATAGCATACCATATTATCCTTTTTAGGCGAAACAGGAACCCATTCAGAGGCTTTCTCCCGATGCTGACTTCCGGAAGAGACCGGAAACTGAAGCCTTAGTTCGTCCTTGTTGGCTATGGGCAATGTACTCGACTTTAATGGGAGTGGCGCTCCACCCTGGAATAAAAATAGTTTTATCAATTTAAATCCATTTAAACCTACTTCAAGGAAAGAATTTATCTGGATTGGAAATTAAAGCACAATTTAAAAAATTTCGTAAAAGTATGTATTCACAATTATATTCAGAATTTCTCGGAAACTAAAAATATCGAGTTGAATATTCAATATTAAAAAAAAAAAATTATGTAGCAAACGGAAAGAAGGCTCACCTAATGTTAAGCGATATCGCCGCCTAAAGACAATCACTTCGCCAGATGGCTCGAAGGTGCGTTGTCGGCCTAAGAATCAGTACGCCCTTTTCCTGAAGGACCCTAAATCGAATTGGTTCGGAAATATTTCAGTGAGCGGCTGGTTCCACATAGTGGTGGTGCGCAGAACAAAACTGCCTTAAGAAACGCCCAGTTATGGAATTACGGACGTAGAGCTAATACGGATGGTATTTCGTATTCTGCCTCGACGTCTGATGATGAAACTCAGCTGCAGGTATTAATCTCTTATCTTATATTGTGTGAAACTCACCCTTATATTCATAACTATGGGCGCTTTCTCCTTAACAAGAAATGGATGGTGGAAAGCAATAGTGTCCTCGTTGTCGCTGTCGCCCTCGTTGGACGATACAGACGATAATTCACCAAGAGCCTCCTTTTTCGATAGATGCTTGCAGAAATCGGTTAATTCGTCCACCGATTTACCTGCAATTTTTTATTCAATAATAATAGATAATTTTAGGTCTGGGCCTCAGATTTCTGTATCTGTTTCATGATCATAATCTAATAGGCAAGTAGGTGATCCTGTGCCTGACACACATCGACTTTTTGGGCCTAAGGCAAGCCGGTTTCTTCATAATGTTTTCATTCACCGTTCGAGCGAATGTTAAATGCGGACATAGAAAGAAACTATAATAGTGCACAGTCGAGGGTCGAACCAACGTGCACAGGAACGAGAGTCGCACACCACTAGGCCAACACTGCTCTTTAAACTCACATTTCATGATATTTTTTTAATAAAAGGCAAGTATATGATCAGCCTTTTGTACCTGACACACGAGGTCTTTGGGGTCTAATGCATGCCGTGGCTTTATTTCACCCAAATAAATGTTAAAAGCTGACAGATAAAAATCCGAAGTTCGAACTTACGACCTCAGGAAAGACAATCGCGCGCTTATTTACTGTGCTGCTTACAATAAACGTCATTAAAATTACGAGATCTCAAAATAATAATGAAACAATCTTGTTAAGGAACATGAAAACATGTGAGATGCTTAAACAGTCTGTTTAAATTTTAACCTATTAATTAAAAATAAATGAGTTTATTTTGATAATTATATTTTAATACATATTTTATATTTCTACTAGTTCTAAACGAAGAACAGCATACAAAGCTACAGGTGTCTCAAAGACCGATGGAACGATGTATGATAGGGAAGAAAAGAATAGACAAAATAAAGAATACAATAATTAAGAGAAGCAACTAAGGTAATAGATGATACAATAACAATAAATAAACTAAAGTGGAAATGGGCGGGGCACATGGCAAGAGAAACAGAAAAGTGGAGCAAGAAAGTACTAAAATGGTGCCCAAGGTACAGCAAACGAAAAGTCTACTAATTAAAGAACCAGTAGGTGGTATACGGCAGAAAGTAGCACAATGCAGAGAGGAATGCGGATTTGGAGGAGGCATTTGCCAAAAAAGGGCACACAGATACCTAAAGGAAGATTGAATAGAAAAGTGTTTAAATGTAAAAGTATCTAAATTAAAAGGCAGGTAGGAAACAATTTGAAAAAATACATTTTAAATCCGATTCAAAACGTAATTACCTCCAGACTGTATAGCAGCCATGACCTGATTTCTTGTGTGTGGCGGAAGAGCAGCTGCCCCAGCTGGGACTGCACCATTCTTCAGCATATTGATGGCATTACGCCTTGCCACTTCCAGCAGGCGTTTCTTCTCACTGTCCGCTAACTTCACACCGCTGAAAGATTTATCATAGGACGTCATAACAAAACATTGATGCAGTGATTGCATATTTTTATGAATAAAATAAATCATTTTTATTTAATTATCACTATTTTATATGGATAAAAAGGAGTGAATACTCGGACGTAAAATCGAGTGGAAGAGAGATAGATACGGCGCGATCGTACAATGAGCGTAACGGGACAATGAGTCCTGCTTTATCGTGCGAGCAGCCGGTGTTCATCGATTTATTAGACGTTGTCACGTCAAAAAAAATGAGACATACAATGTAACGTCCGTCGATTTAACAACAAACCGCCTAAAGCGTCGAAATCAATCGGCTTTGGTTGGTTTAGCTTGTGTTCCATACAACGATACACTCTACAAAGCATATCACCTATCCTCAATAACGACAATAATTAAATAATAAAAAGTAATTTTTAAGTCACCGAAATTAGTTAAAACTCCGGAGCTGTTTATGTTCTTTGGTCGCTTTATTGTCCTAGCCCGTAATAACCTCGACTCTCTGCATCATACGTACCAAACTTTCTACGAAATCCGATCTATTGTTTACAAATTGGGATTTCTTGAGCGTGCTTTACCACGAAGATGCCTCAATATCGCGAATGAATAAAATAAGTAAAAAAGTACATCATTACTGGTGCAGCAAAAGACGTCAGGCAAAAATAACAGACTATATACAATAGCGTTCGAATAAGATTTGTTTTTATGTAATTACTAACACTAGTCTGAAATAAACTTTTTGTAATACATGTTTTTATTGTTTCCCTTTAACGCCAACTCTTTGTTACTTCAAAATAGGCACAGTCCCTTGAGTATCGTTATATAGAGTTTACACTGTATTTAAAATAATTACACATTGCTAATGAAAAGTCATAGACAAATTCTTCAATAATAACTTACGCATCAATGGGGACATAGATTTCCTTTTCTACGTACGACAAAAATAAATTCAACTGCAGCCTTTTGAATGAACTACATTTACAGTGTAAACTCTCTATAACGTAAAAACGAGATAAATTTATTTGGTCCAACCCAATACCCATACATTAAATCTTCCCTCTCTATAACGAATAAAAAGGAGCAGTCCCTTGAAATTCGTTATAAAGACTTTATACTGTATATTAAAAAAATATGATTAATTTTATCTTGATTTAACTTAAAGATGTTTGAAGGACTTACATGTAACCAGGATGAGGTTCAAAGGCATGCCATCAAGGAATTAACTCTCTTTCGTTTTTAGTTTTTTAACTAATAGAAGAACTACTTTTACTCAAACTGTGATTCATACCTTCTACTACTTCTATGCCGAGGGGATGGATGTCTAGGATAGTGCCGACTTCTTGATGTGGACCTATGTCTGCTTCTTGATGTGGACCTATGTCTGCTTCTCGACCTGGTCTTCCATCTAGACTTAGATTCAGATCTTCGTCTCCTGGAACTCTTGGAGTGGCTTCTCCGTCTAGATCTTGAGCTTGATCTATGTCTATGCCGGCGAGATGGTGAACGAGACCTTGAGCGTTTCTTACTGTCGGACCTGAAAGCATTAATGACTTTACATATATTTTAAATGACAATATCTTAACAACTAGTTTATTTAGTTTCAGTGAAGTGACAAGCTTTTAATAACTTTAACTAAATCATTACTAAAATGCTAAATAATTTATCATTTCATTTCATAATCATTTAAATAAAATTTATCACAGTAAAAAAATCAAAATCTCTTATGCAATTATATATTTTTTTTGTAAACTCCCTTTTCATAAAACCTAAACCTTAAAAATAATAATACTATATATTATATGATAATGCAAGTTAAGTTCGGTTGACTTTTGTTGTAGGGATGTTCAAATATATTATGGTAAATGAAAAACTTTGTTTGAAGCTGGGTGTCAACTAGCTTTAATCATTTAAAATATGAGCTTATAATTAACATATAATTATTGGTAGTGGGGTCACAATGACTTGACTTTTTTAAGGGTTGTTAAATCTAAGGGAAACTTCAATACAAGTGGAGTCAACCTTGTCAGAAACTATTATCAGAAACAAGGATATTATATTACAATTTATTAGTGTGGGCAAAACTGAAGAACTCATTTTGGCTTCATATGTGCTAACATATGGTTTGCGCTTCTAATTATTAAGTAAAATATATATGTAACATAAGTAATGTTAGGTTACATAACTTGCACTAACTAAAATAGTAATCTGTATTTTGTCACCATAGGTAAACATAAATCAAATACCAAGAAAACAGGAGACAACTGAGTAATAATGTTAACACCCAAATAACACATACATATTTCATTTTTATTTAAAATCTGGGTATACACACATCTATCATCTTGTCACATATGAGAAGTTTTAATTTAATACAATAATATTTGTACCTAAGTATAGTTATAATTGTAATCTATGTTGACACAGTACAGTTATATAAATTACAAATTATACTTAGTGTTATTAAATAAATAGTAAAATAAAAACCTTATTATAGAGCAAATGAAGAATACATCTTTTTACACTTCAATTAACTTAATCTACTTAATGTGTAAAGTTAAGTAACAAGAATTTTATCTAGATTTGTATATGAAAAACCTTCAAATACATTTTGAGAGTACAGTCAAAACCATTTAAAACGACTTTGTTTAGAACAACATATCGGTTATATTGACCAACGTCATTGGCTGCTACAACCAAATATAAATAGTCTCTTCAATGTTGTTATAACAGATTTTGACTGTAGAAGAATTACATACCTTCCTTTGGATTTACTCCTGTCTCTTTTAGATAACTTATGTGAGCTATCACTTTTAGGTTTCTTTGATAACTTTTCATCTGCATCAGGACTGAAATATTTAATTAATTTATTAACGTTAGTTATTATACATCTCTATAGCTTTTAAGTCACTTAGGCAATATACCATCATTATGGTCACTTAACATACAACAGTACTCATAACACATTACTATTTTTTTTATAAAACAAATATGTAATAACAAAATAAAATTTCCTGGATGGACATAAATTCAAATTGATCACTTAATAAAATCTGTTTTTTTAATACTACAGTAGATGACCACAAGGAAACACAAGGTCACCTTTAAAATATGGAAAAACATTGAAATAATCAACTTACAGTTTTATATCCTCTGCTGCTTTTTTTAATATTCCACCTGGGTCTGATGACTTAGGGAATTGCGAATTAGAGTCATCATCTTTCTCTGAGCTACTGGACGTATCTGTATACTCTCCATCCTCTACTTTCTCAGCTTTTTTCCTAGCCTCTTCTTCAGCTTTCTTAACCGTCTCTTCAAAGACAGCACTGAATTTCAAATTCTTAATTTGAATTTTACCTTTGGCTTTGTCATTTTCCGAATCACTTTTTTTCTCAAGCTTATGACGCAGATCGCTAGAATCAAGTTTTTCATCTTTTGGATATTCTGGCATGGGAATAAGGCTTGCATCAAGTGCTTCAAGTGGTGGTGATAAGCTACGCTCAACACTCGCACTTTTTTTTATAACTTTAGTCCTTTCTTCGCGCTTTATTCTATACTCTTCTTTAAGTTGAGGTTCACGTTTAACAATGGGTTCAGATTTTTTTTTTGTATCACTTTCAGACTTTACCTTAACTGGCTCCTTAATTCGATGAACTGGTGGGGTGCGAGCTACTCTGTTCTTTTTTGATTTACTTTTTTTCCGCTTTTTATGTTTGCGAGAGTAATCGCCATCGGAATCACTACTACTCGAACTTCGGCTGCGTTTTTTCTTTTCTTTCTTGTGTTTCTTCTTGCTTTTCTTTGATTTCTTAGACGTTATATTTTCTAACTTAGGTGGGTCTGCATTAAAAGCACTAAATAGTTCGGAGAGTATTTCATTCGAAGATTTTTTGGTATCATCTTTTTTGCGATCAGGTGTTGTTTTTTCCCTTTTAATTAATTGCTCAATTTTGTCTATTAATGATGTCATGGTTAAAATTTCACACATAAAAACAAGACAACATCACAATTTACACATTATTAATAGCAACTTTATTTACGCCGATATAACTAAAGTTAAAAACAAAATAAATAAGAAGACAATGTGTTTAGCTTTTCCGCCATACTTAAGTCAACTCAAACATCACATTTCTTTATACCAAAACAGATGACAATCAATACATTGACAATTGACGGAGAAAAATATATAAAGCGTGTAACATACTACGATTTTTAATTTTGTAGAATTCTGACAGCTATCATTTTTGACAACTCAGAGAGAGAGAGCAAACCTTTTGGCCAGGCACATTTTTTAATTTACAGTACGAGTCTGAACATTTGAGTCTATACAAATACTTTTTATTTGTTTTGTGAATGTCTCCATTTCATTAAATGCGGAGCTTCACATTAATAGTGGTTTAACGGTGAGGGATAATTACGTCTCTTATCATCACCAACAGTAAAAAACGCACAAGTTAAGATAACATTTTATTTTATTAAAAAGGATACTAAACCTGGAATAAGTAGGCAGTGATGCCAGCTAAAGAATAAAATAAAGTAATCAAAGTTAATTCGATATATTGTTCGTGATATTGAAATATTCATTATTTTTGTATAAGGTCGCATACTGCATACATAAGGTAGGTAAAACATAAAAAATACGTAGGATTTTATTTTTTATTACCCTCAAATCGGTCAAATTTGTCTCTTTTTCCGTGGAGAACGTTTTTAGTTGCAACACTTATGAAATGTCAGAATTCTACGGGATGAAAAATCGTGAGCGTCAGAATGGCCGGTCACTAGTCGTATAGAAGGTTAAAATGTCGTTTAAAAATTACTTCCCAATTGCTTCTATTTAATTCCTACTACAAGACAATTGCTTCCTTAGTATCTTGGGAGAACCACAACAATTTTAGTGACCGTCCATTCTGACGTCAGAATGGCTGGTCACCTATCCTATTGTACTCACTATAACGAATTATCGATTATTTCATAGTTCATAATTTGCTTCCTATTTGCTTCTTCCTAGGTTTTCCATCCTCGATGCTGTACCTATCATGGAATTAAGATATCGAACAATGTTATTACAATTCCCCCAGCGCCTGGTAAAAATATACAGGCAAAAAATATTTGGCTAAAATAAGTTTAATTATGGTTTATTTATATAAATATAGGTAGGTAGGTACTCGTAGTAACAGAACCCCTAACTATATGTACTTTAACGGTAAAAACATTCACAAAGTAAAGGAATAACAATTGAATACAAGAGAAAATAAAGTTATTTTTCATTTAAAATTATTTGCAACTATTTTTCTATGTAGGTATTATAAATCCGAGGTGATTTTAAATGAGGGTAGTTTTATTTTTTATTACATTTGTGTTTTGTATTCGCTTGTAATATTGTCGTTATTTGCGGTAAAGCGGAAAGTTATTTTTTTATTGCAAAAACCATTTCTTTCATAATGAAAAGAGGAAGAAAATTTTCTAATTCGATAGAGGATCAAAAAAAAGCGTTTTCACCATACAAAAACATATTTACAAGTAATAATCATCTCCCTGCAGCAAGTGACCCGGTGTATACAGAAATAAAAAGTGTGTTAGCTAACCCGATTACAGAAAAAGGACTTTATATTTCTGTTCAAAAGAATTTTAATTATTTCTTTGACATCAAGTTAATTGAAGAACAGAGAAACAGTAACAGCATACAGGATGACTATAGCGACCCTACTCAAGCTCAAGCAAGCAAGTCCATAAACTTTGATTTCCTAATTGATCTGTACAAATGGGAAAAACTACAGCCAATCAGTAAACGAGTTCTAGTGAGGCATAATACAAAATCTGTTCTCAAAAAGAAATATAGTTTACCAAAACATATGTGGGCTCATCTATTACGAGAAGAAATATGGAAGGCAATGAAAACTCCCTGTTCTTGGATTTTTAAGCAATATTCCATCAAAAACGAAGATAGAATTACTTGCCGCGGCTTATGCAAACAGTGCAAAGCATCCTTAAATGTTGTGATTTCCTGGCCTGTTGATAAAATTGCTCGCTGTATGTGTTCTATAAGAAATTGCGATGCGTCATTTATTCATATTTCTGACAAAAAGATAAAATTATCACCAGTAAAACGCGTCGACATGTCTGCTGAACTGAAACATGAAGCTGCGATCGCATATCGCAATAAAATATCGAATGAACTTATGGACACTGGTGACATTGAACCATCTCATATGCCAACTCTTGGCTGCTTAAGGCAAATTAAACATGAACAAAGGCAAAGTTCATATTATGATTCAAATCAAGTACTTTCCTTGTGGATGATGAAGCTTGTAACGCCGTATAAAGAAGCCATTAAGCACATTTCGCTGTACCCTTTTTACGTGTTTTATTGGACAAAACTTCAAGAAGCCTGCTGCAAAAATCTTAAAAAACTAGGTAGAATAGTTCTTAGTGTTGATGCCACTGGTAGTATCTTCAAAGGACTTGGTCCGAATAATAAGATGTTGGTGACAAAACACTTATTTTTATACGTATTAATAATTAAAACACTGCAAAACGTAAGTTCCGTTCCAGTTTCACAGATGGTATCTGAAAGTCAGACTTTGGACACAATATATCAATGGCTCCAGGCTTGGCGCAAATGCAATCCTGTTCCCGATGAAGTCAACTTAGATGACTCTTCCGCTTTAATTGGAGCAGTAGTGAAAGCTTTTACAAAATACGAATCTATTGCTGAATATGTCGAAGATTCATACAGAAGGTTAGAGGATGGAGAAGTTAGTGATACATGTTACATACGAATAGACACCAGTCATTTTATCAAAATTTTATTTAATTTGTCATGTTTTAAACATACTGATACCAGAGTAAAATTTTTTTACGTTAAATGCCTGATCGAGCTAAAAAACTGCGATGATTATGACAAAGCAAAATACATAATATCAGATTTAATTACTGTATGTTTAAATCAACATGATGGTATCATCAACGGTAAAAACGCCACGAGATGTGAAAATTCTAAAAGAAATCTCAAAAAATTATGTGCATTTCATGTTGATGATACTGAAATCGAAATCCAAGATAATGATAAAATAAATGCAAACATTGAAGAATCAAGCTATTCAATATTTGATGACACTCTAAAATACAACACAAAACAAAAATGTCCAAAATGGATTTACAATAAAATAGACGCTGAAAAAATTATAACTACTCTAAGTGATGATAATGATTGCAGCCACCACGAAAATTTATACTACTTTCCGGCATTCATTGATGTATTACTACGTTTAATGGGCCAATTTCCTTTATGGTCTAATGTAATGAAAAATCTTTACAATTCTGATATCGACAGACCATCTTCTTCAAACATAGAATCCTATTTCAAAAATTTGAAAAGGCTATTGTTTCAAATCGGCAGTAAGTCACAAAGACTACGCATAGATGAATTTATAATTAAGCATTTAGAATATTTTACAGGTGAGTTATATATTGTAAATAGTAATATAGCACAAGCTCAAAGATATAAGGTATCAAAAAAGTCAATAACGCCCGGACAGAAAACAAAAACATATAAAATGGTTCCGCAATTCAGAGATGATTCTGTTTTCTCGGATAATCCAAGTTTAGTAGAAAATTGGAAAGGTCTGGGTATGGTAAAAACCAAAAATAAAAAGCAAAAAAAAAAAAGAAAAAAAGTGTTTTTGCTATCGAATGGAGGCAGATTTATTATTGATAATGAAATTGTAATTACAACAAACACTTGTGGACTGGACTCCGTATGCCAAGCATTAGCTTTAGCATACGTCGATGGAAGTAGTATAAGTCAAATAATACATGAAAGTGATCACATTATGTGCCAGCTCATCCGATCTATGTGTGAAAATAACAATAAAGAGGTTTATAAAATCCGATCATCCATTGCCAAAACTTATTTTAAAAAGGTTCAAAACGGAGATATGCTAGAAGTTGATTGTGAATGTAATGTGTTAAATATATTTGATGGAATTCTGCTTGAGTGTTCTCTTTACAGTGCAGATGAAAAAGCGTCGTGCACTAATTCAACCTGCCCTATAAATGAAGTAGTTAGAAAAGTATCTGTTTTACGTTTACATGATACACATGTAAACGATATTGAAGAAGCAGCGAATAGACAAATGCTCGATACACCCACCATTATACCATGCCGTCAAGCAACTTGCGATGGTATCAAATCATTTGAACTGATCTTACGCAACATTATAAGTTTTGAAATATCGGATGAAACTGTTTCTGTTTATGAAGCACCAACAAACCTATTTTTACAGGGTAACGAATATGAATTGATTTCAATAATTGAATTTGTTCCGCCTGCTATTGGTACAATGGGCCACTATAAAGCACATTGTAGACGTGAAAATGTATGGCAATGCTACGATGATATGAATACAAGGATAATAAGAAGTTATAATAAAAAAATAATTCCACACTGTATTGTATACGTTAAAAAAAAGGAATAAGATTAAATTAATTAAAAAGACTTAAGAAAAATTAATGAATGAGTATTGGTATAATACCTATTTGTATTATACCAATTCATTTTATTTTCTCTTGTATTCAATATTAAAAAAAAAGTTATTCCTTTACTTTGTGAAAGTTTTTACCGTTAAAGTACATATAGTTAGGGGTTCTGTTACTACCTACCTACCTATATTTATATAAATAAACCATAATTAAACTTATTTTAGCCAAATATTTTTTGCCTGTATATTTTTACCAGGCGCTGGGGGGAATTGTAATAACATTGTTCGATATCTTAATTCCATGATAGGTACAGCATCGAGGATGGAAAACCTAGGAAGAAGCAAATAGGAAGCAAATTATGAACTATGAAATAATCGATAATTCGTTATAGTGAGTACAATAGGATAGGTGACCAGCCATTCTGACGTCAGAATGGCTGGTCACTAAAATTGTTGTGGTTCTCCCAAGATACTAAGGAAGCAATTGTCTTGTAGTAGGAATTAAATAGAAGCAATTGGGAAGTAATTTTTAAACGACATTTTAACCTTCTACACGACTAGTGACCGGCCATTCTACGGGATGAAAAATCGAAGTATAAACATTAAAATTTATGGGTGAATTAATTTACACACCTGTGCTTTTTTGCTTGGTGATCTTTGTTTACAAATTATTTTTTCTCTTGTATATCGTTTGTAAACCATTCTGCTTTGTCACGAATACTAATTTATCAAAGTTGTTGCTTTTAAGACTTATAAATCAAATTAAGTGAGTCGTTCGCAATTGTATTAAGTCAGTTAAAACATAACGTTATTTGAGACATAAAAATGATAAGATGTCATTCGTGAAACTATATTACATTAAATTTAAGCCTCAACCTTAAAAGTTATTAATGATTGTTTGTTATAATTTTGTGTGTAAAAGGCTTATTAGCATAAATTAAAACAACACATAAGTTTACAAAGATTCTGGAAGGAAATAAAGGACTAATATATTCATTCGTTTGCTTTGTTTGATGCAACGATTGCATTTTGTTTTGGTTGTGGAAACATAAATTTTTGGCCTTCATTGAAATATTTGGTAAAAACCTCGTTCATAGTTCGAATCCAGTATCCAGGATAACGGCATTTTTTTACTCATAAGGTTACGTGAGCGATTTTCAGTAATGGTAAAATTCAGAGTAAAACAGTGTTTGACTTACTGAAGTCATATTTAGAGCTACACCAGACTCTGAAACTTGCCCTGAAGTTGACCCTGAAACTTGGCGTAGTAATAGAAATAACATAGTCGATTGAAGTTAATTTCTTTATTTTTGTAATTACCTTTGCAAGGTATGCAATTTATTATCATCGACACTACATCTGTAGCCCGAAAAATGTATAACGTAACATTTTAATGCATTATTCCGTAGACATCAACTGTTAAAGGACGGAAAAATGTCCTTTGCATTTCTGTTTTAGAGAAGAGCTAGAGAAAAAATTCAGAAAAGGTATACTACAATATTTATTTGAAGAAATTTGTCCTACTATTTAACTGCGAGTAGGAATTTATAAGCTTCAGCATGATTGCGTGTTGATGACTGCGAATAAATGGGTACATAACTTAAAACTAGTCATTAATTATCTTACCCCCTTACTTAGAAATTTCTCTAAACTGGGGTTATTAGGTTGACAAACACGGTTGTTGTAAAGGCCCGAGACATTACATTACCTCAAACGTGAAAACCAGTATAAGGTAAGCGAAGGCGCGTGTTTCATAAGTAAGGAGGTTAATTACAATAATTATTAATAAATTATAGTTACACATTACACGATACTTTTTCGTTTTTTAGGCATGTAGTGTAAAATATAATAATAATTAAATATCATACTAAAATTTAATCAAGACCAATATTATAATTACGCCTGGCAACTTTTAAACATGACACGAAAAATTGCCGCCAAATATGAAAATGGCTAATTTTTCGTCAAATAAATTAAGGAATACAATGGAAGTTCTGGGAATTGAGCAAATATCTAGCTCGTTAAAGCATTGATTTTTCGCTTTTAGCTTTAATGAAGTGCTGTGCCAGTGTTCTAGTGTTAGGAAGTTGGAATATAATGTTAGATTAATAAGGTAACAACTATCTTTTCTCATTCAACACATCGCTTTCAAGACCATTTCCGATTCTAATACATTTAAATCAGAGAAGCTTAAAATAAGTTAACTTAGTAGGTAAATACCAATATTGAATACATTTAATAAGCGAAATTTCTAAATTATATTTGCAATTATAAATCTAACAGTTTTACCTTTAATATTTCTAATCTCGCAATTTATGTCGTAGAAAATTTATGAAGCCTACAGTAAAAAAGTTGGTTTTTCATATTAAAATCCCTACCTATCTATATTTTGTATCAAATATTTTTGATAATTTATATAATAAGGTAACAAAGTTTTAGTTTGTAGAAATGCCGGTAAGCTACAAAAAAAAGGAAAAAAAAAATCAGTCGACAAAATTGAATTTTGTCGTGTTATTAAATAATATGATTCCTACATTTAAACATTTATAAATGCAATACAGCGTCAAAAATAAATACAAAGGTACTTAAATAAATTATTACTTTCCATTTATAATTCTATCAAAAACTATCGATCCCTACAGTCAAAATAGACACAGATTACCAAATCCAGATTACACTTTGTCACAAATCTATCGAGCCCTGAGATATTAATGCTTTATAATATTATATTGAAAGTAACAATGTGGTGGTGCATATTTTAATGTATTGGAACAATTGTGCATCTCGAGTTTAACGGTTACTACCATTCTCATGCCTACCTAAATCTAGTCTGTAATGAGGTGGTATTGCGACTTTTTAATATATTTTTTTATATCCATAGCCAACTGTCAAGTTCTATAAACTATGCAATGTACTATAGACTATGCAATGTTCCTACTTTATTTTTACTACGCATTCGGTAAGCGGTCGTCACATTGTACTTTTTTATTAAAGAGGTCGCAATACAGCAGATTGTATGTCACACACAATAAATGGTCCAAATCTTCCATCACTACCATGAGATAAAGTAGCACCGCTCGATCAACGAGTGGGAATAAGCTTCAACTATATGAGTTAGTTCCTAACATGTCAAAAATTCAAAAGTCTAAACTGGCAGTACTTAGGTAATTTTGAGAACGCAGAACGCCGATTCTATTAAAAAAAATGTTTCTTTGATTTTTGACATGCTAGTGCCGGTTGGCTCATGCTAAAACGCAACGAGCGACTACTGCTTTCGTACATGAATAATTCGTAGTACTAACCAAACGAGAGAGTGCGACAGCAACAGTCGCCCACATCTTAAAGCTACTACTAAATTTTCTAACGATCAAAGATCGCAAGCTATTTATTCAAAAGTCTTAAAAAAATAAAATCTGCTATCAATATTAACGATTAGCGCGGATGTAAAACGGCGCGGACCGTTCGGAAACATTTCTCGAAGCCAAGCTTAGAGTAGAGAGAGCGAGAGGCGTCGTTTTCCGGACGAATCACGACGAACGGTTTGTAGCCGCGAGCCGCTACTTCTTTGGTGAGACGCCGAGCTAAGTAGATCCCGTAGCCTTTTCGGCGGAACTCTGGGCGTGTCTGCATGGAGAACATGGCGCCATAGTAAGATTGGACCATCCAAGCGGCCAATTGTCCCTCGACGAAGATTCCATAGGCGGGTAATTCGGCGACGAGCTTTTCGAAGACTTCGCGGCATTCAATGTCACTCGCCGGGTAGAGGTCATGCACTGCTTGCATGTGCTTTGGCTGAAGGCGAACTAACTCCACGTCCTGTGGCAGTCTATGGAAATTAAGGTTTGTTAAGTTCTTTCATACAAATAAATTTTTACTTCAAGTTTTAAATACTTACTCTTCATTACAATCCGTTGGAGGGTTATCACAGACATACACATCTCCAGTAATCTTATCTTGAGCTTCATATCGTTTCTCGAAGCGATTCACGATAGCTTCGTGAGTGAAGTTCAGGTACAATGGTTTCGTGAGGTCCAGCAAGATGTCTTCGCTGGTGACCAGGTCCACCAGTTCAGAACGCTCCGATGGACAGAATATCGTTACACTTTCATAGGGATGGCTGTTTGGCTGTAATAAAATCTATGATTAATTGAATCCTTTAACAAAAAAGTTACGAAATGTTGATCGCAAAATTTTACACGCCGATTTTACCAACGGTTTCCCTGGCAATCGTCATCAATGCACAAATATAAGCCGAAGCGCTTTGTTTTGATTCCCGGCAAAAAATGATTTGAAATGTATGTACTGAATGAAGGCTAATCGTAGATATATGTGTCTGCTCCATACCTACGAAATTTAATTTTGCTCGGCTTTATAAAAATTATAGTAAAAAATTCTAATCCTATGATATCCATCGTATTAAATATTTCCATAAAGTATTTTCTTGTCTTTCAAACATATATAATGCTACTAATAAATACTTATATACATCTGAGCAATAACAGCGAAATAGTATAACAAATTGTAACATAATATTTTCAATAGAGTAATTACGTGGACGTGAAAATATAATCCATACCTTTGACCTACTTCCTGCAATATGAATAGACTCGTATGAAAACGGAATTAAAAATGTAAGATGTTTTCTCAAGCTGAAGCGAGAGCTCTGCGACACTAGTTAGGTTTTAATAAATCTGTGTTTATTGTGAACACTGCAATCATTTAAATTGCACTATTATTGTGGTGATTGATTGAAATGATTAATAGCGCTAAAGCTATTCAGAGATCTATCGGAATAATGTTTTGTTTACTATAGTTTTTAGTGCGTTTTGCTGTCTTCCGCAGACTTTCAATTATAAATCTCATGTCTCAGTGGAAATGAGTCCGAAAGGACAATTTCAATGCTACTACCTCAAAAAATCCGTAGCTGTGTTCCCTAAAATGACGCTGTACAAAAACTAAACAACTTAACTCGTTCAATAATCGTTCCTTACTGAGTATTTCACAATTTCTGATTGGGTAGATAGATATTAGAGGTGCGTGGGTTGTCTAATTATTCAATATTTTTATTTATGGATTAATCGAACATATACATTATCATAACGGCGTTTTCACCGAAGAAGGATATTGTGTGAGTGTTTCGTCTTCTACTAAATGGCCGATATTTATAAAACTTGTGTATATTTAGGTCCAAAATGGATGGTAAATGTTTTACATCTCCAAGTGATAAGGCCTACCCGAAAAATGTATTGTATTATGGTTTGGCATTAAAATATACATTATCCTTAATTTCCCTTCTAAAGCTATTAATAAAGGTAGGTAGGTAGTACCTTTATTAATAGCGATATTAATACTGTAACCTTTATATGGCGAAATATAGTTTCTACAGTATTCTATTAGGTAAGAATGTTCAAATATCGATGCGGTCTCGGGTTGTCGGACTTCTAAGTCTAAGAAAACAATGATAGCCCATACGACGAGAGAGCAAATGGCCAGTCTCAATAGATAAATACTTACCGTACTGGTACAGCCGGGAAAGTGTAAGCAAATCGGTTCCTCCGGCCAATTCTTCGCCACATAAAAATGAAAGTCCCAAACCTTATTGTTTAGATATGTTTGAATCGTCTGATGAAACTGAAACCAAATATTTCGTAAAAACTTTGTTGATTGAAGAAGCCATCTAAGGGAAAATTTTCGTAAATGTCTTTATATTTAAAAATGAATGTTGCTAAGATTATATTTAGAACGTAACAAATTCGACTTAGGGTCCTTCAATAATGAGCGTATAGATACGCTCTTAAAAGGACGGCAACGCACTTCTGGCATTATGACTGTCCATGGGCGATATCACTTAACATAAGATGAGCCTCGTTTGTTCCCTGTTATAGAAAATAATTAAAAAACAAGACTTACGGTCATATTATTTCTTTCTATAAAAATATGATATTTTTATGTTACGTCTTAGTTACATATTATTATTACCATTAACCATATTCTCATAGAATAAAAAATAATATATTACAAAAATGCCTGTTACAAAATTATGCCGTAGCGGGGAAAAAAAGGGTGCGTGTACTTTTGTACGCGCGTAAGAAGTTATACTTCTTTGGCATTATTAGAAATAGTTTTTGATTGCATGCAAATAATTAATTACAATTAAATAATCAAAGACTGGAGAAGGAATCATTATAGTCAATAAAGTCCAGTTTACATTTGAAAAATTAAATAAATAAATATTTATTATTATTCTCTTACATTAAGTGTAACATAAATTCTATTATTATTCGAATGTTGTTTTTAAATTATGTCCAATGCCGTAGCATCTTCCGTGGGCAACTTCATTCTATTAATTTTGTGTCACGGTGGCGCGCGCATCATTTTCATAACGCGCCTAAAGAAGTTTAACTTCAAAAATAGCGCAACACCTGGCCTCACCTAGATCATACACAATTATACTCCGTGCATCATAGCTTTGAGGACATGTTTGTTGTGAAGGCTTACATCAAATACCTGAAGCCTTCTATCAATACACTAGGACGATTTAGGCCATACAATTTGATATATTGGAATAATTTCTACGATATTTTGTTAAGCAAAGACCTGTTATGTCGAAGAGATTGATAATTTGAGCATCGAGAGTGAAGTGGAGAATAAATAGATACCTTGAAAATTCGAGACAAAGATAATAATATTATGAATCTATATTAGAACTAACGCATTGGTTTAAAGAATTTGTATATTTGAAGCTCCAATGTTTTTTTCACCATTATTACCTTAAGAGATTCAGGCATATACTGAACTAAAACATCCGCCACAGCTGGGAGCTCGTCTTTTGTTACCAATCGAAAATTTTTCCCCTCAGGCACGATTTCCATCTCTGAAACAAAGATTTAACATTAAGTTTTCCATTTGCACTTGATTCATCTGTAAAGCTTTATACATCTAAAACATGCTGGTTTTCTCATGCTTTTCGTTTCTGCCAAAAAAGGTTAGATTAGGTTAGGTTAAAAAAAAGAAAAACGCGAAATGTATCAGTTTCGCGTTTTTCTAATCTCAAAAATCTAAGGCGAGGTGGGTAGCGCCAATTGGTTTTTAATATATTTTTAATTCCATATTACATTTGTAACTAAAAATTTTTAGTTATAAATTATAAAATTGTGCAGCGATTTTATCGACGTTCGAAGTTGGACAATTCAGCTCAGTACTTATCTCCAACTTTCTTCCGAGTGTTGACACAATTTGACAGAAATAAACAAAATGATTCTAAAAGAATTCAATTATATTTATGAATAAGGGGCGCAATAAACAATAATTATTCCTAATTTAAAAAAAAAACACGTAATTACCCGGATATTAATAAAACAACAGAAGACAACCCTATGACTCTAGTAAAAAACTAAATGATGGAAAAAGTTGCAAGCAATATAAAGGTATTGATTTGGAATAATTACTATGAGAAAGAACATACGTGTCCCTTACAATAACAATATCGTATGTCAGTTCGTAGCAAGAGATAACATAATAGGAAATATCAGTATGTATTTAGATATGACCTACAGCCGTTGTCATACGTTTAAACCCAAACGGTTATATAGCTATATATACGAGAACTGTACATTATTATTAACATAATCACTAAACCTTTCTCGTAGTTAAATGATATACAGTCAAACCTGGATGAGCGAGAGTTCAAGGGAGCCTAGAGTTTTCTCACTAACCCGAGTTTCCCGCTAATGCCGGTACATGGGTAACGTTTCTCTCTTATAAAGATACGAATGTAGTAAATATGTAATATCATAAAATTATGTGCATAATGTGCACAACATGTATTATGTACATATATATTTTATTTTATTTAGAATTTATTAACACTTAAAAAATCCGTCAATTTCGTTTGAGTTTCTGTTTTTGTATTTTGAATGTTTTTCTCTCATACTCATAAATTTTGTCAAATATTGCTTGATCCACAACCGCCACGTAATCAAAGTACAAGCTCGACTGTCGCTTATAGAGGTATAGATAAGTAGCAGTCTCACTTACGGAGGTCCATGAGGGAAAAACGACTCTCTCTTACAGAGGTTTCTGTTTCTCGCTAATAGAGGTTTTGGGAGCTTAAAATGACGGGTCCCGGCTATTACTGTCACTTATAGAGTTTTCTCACTAATCCAGTTCTCACTTACCCAGGTTTGACTGTATTCATTGGATTGATTAGTCATAAATTTTCACTAAGCTAAAACTGTCGTAGAGTCTCTACGCCGTAGCACGGTGGACTGTCGATAAATATTTATTCATTAAGAATCGAAGATAAAATAATTTCACCAACCATAAATTTTTAATAATTTTTAACTCTAATGGAGCAGTATTGGCCAAGTGGCTTCAGCGTGCGACTCTCATCCCTGAGGTCGTAGGTTCGATCACCGGCTGTGCACCAATCGATTTTTTTACTATGTGCGCATTTAACATTCACGTGAGGAAACCGGCTTGCCTAAGTCCCAAAAACTCGACGGCGTGTGTCAGGCACAGAAGGCTGATCACCTACTTGCCTATACGTTTATAACTGAATCTGAGGCCCAGACCTAAAAAGGTTGTAGTGCCACTGATATTTTTTTTCTTTAACACAACGTTCTATAGATACATCCTCCATTGGAGATAATTGAATGTCATATATTATATCGCTGTTCCATTGGTTACGGCTCATTCAAACAATGATAATAATTGAGCAACGCGATACGCAAGGATGTAGCGCCCTAGTGTACAAATTGCATTACTTACTACTGCATCGTGGGTCAAGGTCCGAATGCATCGATCGATGTTATGTTTTCAATTTATGTTTGCAACATGTAAGCTTAAATAATAGGAAACCATTACATAGGTAATAATAATATAGAATCATTTACATATTTATATTATATTTCCTTATCTGATGAAAGGTAAAATACAATATTTAATTTAATTTTTTTATAGCCGGAATAGAATTAGACCACGTTTTAACTTGCTTTGAGCAGTGTTGGCCTTGTGGCTTCAGCGTGCGAAAGTGGGTGTGTGTCAGGCACAGGAAGCGGATCACCAACTTGCCTATTAGATTGACAAATGATCATGAAACAGATAAAGAAATCTGAGGCCCAGAACTAAAATGGTTGTAGCGCCACTGATTTTTTAACATACTTTTCCCATCTTTTGTACCTTTTTAACCGGCAAATTAGATTAATACGAGCAAAAGGTACTAAGGTTTTAGCAGAAGAAACTGCTGTTACCATTTGTCCAAAAAAGTTTTAATTTATCTAAATAAAGCATAGCCAGAGTACGTATCTAGTTTCGAATAAACCCATTAAAGAGATTTGCTTGATGCTTCTCGAATTCTAGTTATAATGAACGACGAAATTCAATACATCAGCAATTGCTCTAATCGCCTACGTAGATCAATAGTTCAAATACCCAAACTCAAAATAACTTTATTTATATAGGTAAACAAGTACACTTATGAACGTCAACAGAAAAGATGTTAAATTGATTCTAAATTTACATTTACTACCAGTTCGCTATATCACCCGTAAATACTAAATTTTATTAATAAAACAAATTGTTTACTAGCACTTTGCGGGAATAAATACGGAGAGCTGAAATTACAGTGAGCGACCGCGGTCGGAGTTTTTTGTACATTTTTAGCATTTATTTGTGCAGATTGAAATTGTATGAACTATGATTACTGTCCATAGACAAGCCAACAGTTCATATGCTCAACTTCCTTCAATATCCCTTGTCTGGGGCAATCCTTAGCGCCTGCGTCAGGCGGTCAGTCCATCGCATCGGGGTTAACATCATTTGAAAGAGCTTAATATTTGTTTTATTCATTAAGTGAGGATCAGATTGAAATCTATTAATTAAAATTAAAATTATATGTTACACATAATTGTAAATAATGAGCGCACAATTTCGTGTATAGCGGACAATCCTTCAGTGCGTAAGTAGACATAGAAATAACATTTATTACTAACTAAAACACTCACACATAAACACACAAAATAACAATAATCAAAGAAAAAAATAAAATAAAAAATATAATGAGAGATATTAAAAAAAAATCCTTTTTCTCTTTCGGTTCGTTTCAAGTGTGTAATGCGTGTATGCTGTGGTTGTAATTGGCCCTGGCATTATCCTGAGGAGTAGAATGTTCCACAACTCCTGTTATTTTGTTTAGTTGTAAGTAATATGTAAAAAATACATAAAATTAGGTATTAATTTAACAAATTAGTTGCTGCGAAAGTGAAACCACGAGCCAAAGTAACATCGTTAAAAAAACAAAAGGTTGAGACCTCTTTGGCGCGATGCCAAATCCGAGACTTCGTTATTTACGTTTTTCGCACTCCTAGCTTGGTCTGTAAGCTATATTTGAAGGGCTACTTAGCGCCAAGGTTAGAAAATGGACGCGACTATAGTGACCTAAGTAGCCTATGACATCCTCTTGTATAATGTTTATTCAAAGCAGTAAAAGAATGCGATTGTGAGCTTTATTCTAACCCTGGTTATGCACCAGTCTTCAGGCATGGCACCCAAAATACAAAAACATGTTTCATAGTGATTACCTAACGAAACAGAGGCAAAAATTGTGTGCCCCATTTCTTTCACTCTGAAGTCACAGACTATACTACTAGCAACTCAGCTATTTTCTATCAGATTTCTGCGAGCTCAAACAATTGTGTTTATAATTTTCACAGTATATTCTAACTTATGTTTTAACATACAAGAGGCATACTGAGCACTAAGCCTCGACTTTGACTCTATAATAATATATATTATATATCTTATGTATTCCAAACACAATCACATCAAAATTCTAGAAACGTTCTTAATCCAGGTCTATTAATTTTAATGCAAAGCACCATAATATGTCAATTTATTGAGAGCAATATTGCTTAATGTAGAGCTGACATTCTCAATGAAGGTTCCGATATATTTATGTTCACACCTTCAGGGTTAGTAGATGTATTTCCTTATCTCACAAAATAATATCTACTCTTCCAAATCGTAAGAAAGATCGTAAAAAAAGTAGGTAAATTGCGTAGACAGTTCAGACTTTTAGTGGGCCTGCGCCCTTGGGACTGGCGAATCACTGCAGCGCCTGGATCGATCTTTTTCTATCTGCAGTGATTAATATATTTTTTTTGGACTGAAAACTCTTTATACAGTTAAAATGACAACAAACATAAGTAAATATAAATTTTACCGTCTTAACTATTGACGATAAAGAAAAGAAATCAATTAGAAAACAAAGCCACTAATCTATAAATTCTAATAAGGTAAATTGTTATAACATGACTCGTTTCACCGCACAGTAAATACCTATCAAAAAGAGACAAGTATACAATTCGTTATTACTAAGCAAAGTTCGTACACAGTTTTATGAACGAATTTCATTTTCAAAATTGCGGACTGTGTGATTTTATCTAGATTAATAATATTACTTTATAATATTTAAAAAAAATTGTTATCTAAATCACGAGACCCAAACCCGTGATCATGACCACAGATTGCTATATTTGTTTCCTTACTTATTTTTCTATATAGGAAGGTAATCTCTCGATTAATTTTCGGTAATTAATCGAACCTATTTAATGTTTACGTGCTTGATTAAAATACATAAAATATTTAAAATAAAACTAACCAGATTTAAATAAATTTCTGGTAGCGACAGCTATAGCCTTCGGCTGCAGACACAATGACGTCGTACCCTGAAGCGCTAACAAAGTTATTCCGGGCGCTTATTTTATGTTTATCTATGTTACACTGGTCGAGGATCCTCCGTTTAGGTCGAAGAAAGATCAGCACCTTCCTTTCTCCACATTCTAATACTCATAATAATTATTATTATCAAGCC